TCCAAAAAAACAAAAGACTACTTTTTCTTGCTTTAGGGCGGTTTGCAAACCAGCTTAAAGACAAAGGACGTTTCGCGCCTTATGTTTAAAAGCCCAGATCAACCAATCAGCGTACAGACGATACATACAACCAAACATGATGTCTAGGCGTCACACACTACAGCCAATCACAGCCATTTCTTTGTCTTGTGTTTTGCGTTTAAATTTAAATGCTTAAATCTGACCAATCCGTCTATGGCGGGGAGGAGTTGTGAAAGTAGTTCAAATCAAGTTAGATTGGTCTCGCAGAGGGTGACAAAACAGTTGCGCTGTCTTCCTCATTCAGTCGTTTACAATTTGCCTTGCAGCAAACAGGTAAGGAGCTGTCGTTTTTTGAGGTTGTGTTTAGCTGACTGCGTTGTTAGATGTCGCTAGTGTTGTATTTAGTAGTTTAGTGTAATGTTTATGGTGATTAAGTTTCGTGTGTGTGCATGTTTACAATCTAAAGCCTATTAGTTAATAAGTTATTTGTGTTGTAAGTCGTTTGTATGCTTGCGTAAATTAAGATGTTAACGTGTCCTAAACTGTTACGGAAGAAAGTCGTCGAACTAAAAATTGAGTGGTAAAGTTTGGGGTCTCTTTTGATACCGTGACACGGGACAGCCTGCTGCTCTGTGTTTAGTGCGCAACAAGCAATTCAAACGCCATTTGGTTTTGTAGCTTAGCTTGCTACAAGGCGGTAGCGCCCATGCTTTAAATTGTATTGCCGTTCGTTTTATACACATTCTCGTGGCCAACTGCACCGTAGTTAAAAGCAGAATATCACCCCTGTGAAAGTAAGGCGATTTTTATTAGAGTGCTTATTTGGGCAAGTCTTTGGCGCAGTTTAGTTTAGGCGGGAAGATACAAAATGGAGTCCTGTCTTTTTGTCCTAGGGAGGCAAAATCCGATTAGAGCCTTAAAACACCCTCGAGCGTCCGCTTTCACTGTTTGTGCTGTTGTAGTTAGCGAACTACGACAAATGTGTGAATATTTACTTAGGTCGGTATTCATTAAACTAAAAGTTAACATATCGTTTATGGTCGTTGGTTACTGCACAAAAACGTTTGAGTTAGGGTAGGTCGGAAACTTATAAGTATACTGCCTGCGCACATGGTTTTTGTCACAAACTAAGTCAACGTTGCTTCCGTTTCATGTGATGTTTTCTGTCGTTCCTAGATTAAACGCAGCCATGACAAAGGACCCAAATAAGCCAAGAGGGAAAACCTCCTCCTATGCTTTCTTTGTGGCTACCTGTCGTGAAGAGCACAAAAAGAAGCACCCAGGGACCAGTGTGAGCTTTGCAGAGTTTTCCAAGAAATGCTCAGAGAGATGGAAGGTATGTTCACATTATGTTGGTATTTTAATTTTGTAAGGCCAGACATGTATCTGTTTGCATTGTTTAGAAGTAGGGATGCTGTTTTTCATATTCCTAAATGACATGTGATACTTAAAGAGCAAGAGTGTATTGAATGCATAAGGTAACAAACAATAAAATCCTATGCATGTTAGTCAACAGAATATAGTTGCATGTGAATAGGAAGCCATCTCTACATAAGCATATTAAGTTACATGAGTGTTTTCAAATAATAAATATAAAATAATATGAAAAGTTTTGTTTTTAGAAGGAAATTTTTAGGCCTTTACTGAGCTCACTGGTTTGTGTTGTAGACCATGTCAGCCAAGGAGAAGGTCAAGTTTGAAGAGATGGCAAAGAATGATAAGGTCCGATATGACCGAGAGATGAAGACATACGTCCCCCCTAAGGGTGCCAAGAGGGGCAAGAAGAAGAAGGATCCCAATGCACCAAAAAGACCACCGTAAGTCTTAACCTGTTGACTGTTTCATTTGCATGACTGCATTCTGGTTTCTGGTATTAACCTATTCTTTTTATATTCCCCCAGCTCTGCTTTCTTCGTCTTTTGCTCCGATCACCGTTCCCGGATCAAGGAGGAAAACCCTGGTATCTCCATTGGTGACATTGCCAAGAAGCTTGGCGAGTTGTGGGCTACACAGAGTTCCAAAGACAAGGCACCCTATGAGGCCAAGGCTGGCAAACTGAAGGAAAAATATGAGAAGGTATTGATCTGTTGCCCAGTACTTTCCCTCCCTGTAATAACAGGCTGTTATTAACAGCCATTTTAAAACTACTTTACAGTGAAGTAAAAAATATATTTGTAAAATCCACTGAAATGAATTGGCCCATCTGACAAGTCATATTGCTGTTAGTGGCTCTCTAGGGATAAAAAAAAAAAAAGGATATGAAGGAAGTTCATTATTCTGAGTTCCATTTACTGAAAAGTAATGCCACTTCCATCAGGCTATAGTGAAGGTGCTATTTTTTGAGGCTTGACAAATGCAGAGTGATATTAGGACATTTGTGTGAAGAGGCTACATAAAAGTCCTGTCTTGTAGGATGTTGCTGCCTACCGAGCCAAAGGTGGTTCAGGGAAGAGCGATGCTGGTAAGAAGAGTGGCCCAGGCAGGCCATCTGCCAAGAAAGCAGAAGCAGCTCATGATGACGACGACGACGATGAGGACGAGGACGAGGAGGATGAAGATGATGACGACGACGATGATGATGACGACTAAGCGGTTTATGTTGAGGGATGTGAAGTTTGCGATGCATTGTTCAGCTTAACTTTTTGTGTGTGGATGATTCAACAATATAGCCTGCTGTCCCTGTTGGTCTTTCTCTTGAGGATATCAGACCTCTCTTCATTAATTCAGGGATTTAGTTTTTATTTTGTGACTTAGTCCCCTTTTCCCCCACCCACCCAAAAGCGTGCATTTGTTACATCTTTTATCTTAAGTGACCCTAAATGAGCAGATTGAAGTTCCTGTGGTAATACAGGGGACTGAGACTTGTGTATGAGCAGCGGACAGCAGCAAATGAGTTTAAAGCTTAAAAAATGTTTCTGGAAGCACTGCTTGTTTTCTCTTTAGTAGTGCTGTTTCTTCACATTTTAACCAGATATCTGTAGTTTGATTAAAGATGTTGCAACCATTTTTATGTGGAACGTTAAACTTTGATGTAGAACAAATTTTTCTTTTTGTAATAAAATTTTATATATTGAGTTGTGTGGACTATGAATTGTTAAGCAATTTGTAATTGCATGTCTTATTTGGAAAGGGGTTGATCTATAGTACAAAATTTGTCTAATGCTGTGCTACTTAGACAATTAACACTGTCCAAGGTTACAATGAACTTTTCAGATGTATTGTTAGCTCTCAAATTTCAGGTATTGCAGGTGGTCTTCACTTTTAAAATCACAATCAATCTGACTCATTCACCAAATGATAAGCAATGTATTGCCCATAATGCTTGAATCTTTAACTTTATCTGTTCCTTGGAATTCATCATTTCCTTTAAAATGTTAGCAGGCTAATGCTATGTTCTCTGCAATCTCTTATTGATGGTCAGTTTTCACAGCTATAGCTAAGAAGCAGTAATCTTTGCATTTCCTGTTGCCATAATCACACCAGTAGTAAGAGTACTGCAAACTAGACAGTTTATATAGCAGTTGTGTAATTGTGTGTCACACCAACAGCAATGCTTGCCATTCCTAAGGCCAGCATCCATGGGAGGTTTACTGAACAGGCTTGCCAGGCACCACTTCTCTGAACTTATGTTGGGCCAGAAGTCCTGGGAAAATGTCTTCATTTAAAAAGATGTCAAGCATTTGTTCAAGTGCCATCATCTTTCACTGTATATATGTGTAGGTTGTGGAAGGGAAGATAATTCAGAGTTGAGACTAACATACTATGTCTGTGTACATATTGTGTACTCCTATTTTACTCTTGGTTAAGTTGGATGTGGTGTGGGGCTGGCAATTACAGCAATATAACAAAAGATTTCAATATTCACATGTGTGTAGCTTGTGCTTACAGCCAGGCTGACTTTATCTGACATTAGAAACCCCCACTGTTTTTCAATTTGAAAGTGTATCAAACTATTCCAGCTACAGAGCAAAATAAGCTTTTTGGGAGTGAAATACAGTCAGAAGTGTCTTTATGAGACATGTGCTTTTTCTTCCCAACACTACAAAATTAAAATGATCTGCACCGCACTCAGCTCCGCCAAAACACTAACCGCACATTGATGTAAATAACCCTTTAATACAGGCCTGCTGTTAGTATCAGCTGGTGGTGGCAACAGAGTGGTTTTATTTTTATTACTTTAAGGAGGCTATGTTATGTTGATAATACTTTTGTTGTTTTACTTAAGTAGCATTATGAGTGCAAGGTTTTTTGTTTGTTTTTTTGCAACATGAAATAACACATTTACAGGACAAAGGACATAACATAGAAGATGAGACAACAGACTAACAATAATAATGACAAAAGTTGTTATTAAGTTGTATGTGTGAACGTGTGTATTGTGGGTGTATCCAACTGTATGCACACTGGTATTCAGTACTTATTAAAGAAAAATAAAATTAAACCAAGTAAATAAAGAAATGGGGGGGGGGGGGTGAAGAAAAAAAAAAAAGATGTGGGGTGGGGTGATGATAAATCAATAAAGGAACAGGAGTGTACTGGTGATGCCCCCACCCTGAAACACCAGCTTCACACAAGATGAGGCCAGCACTTGGGGAGCTCTGGAACAGCTCAGCAGGGTGAGGTCTTCCAGGGCAGCAAAATGCCACACACTTCAAATTCATGCCAACTGATATTGTTGCATCCAGTAGATGTCCTACTAGAGCAAATGAAGCTTCAAGAAGCTTTGCGCTGGAGTGAACCAATTGGATGAAAGGCTTCATTGCTTCATGAAGCTTCATCTGCCCATCACTAGAGGAGGGATAAATCCAAGCAGCTGGAGAGAAGGAGGCAAGACAAAACTAACACAGAATCAAAAGAACGACGGGTAACAAACGGGCCTGATAAATGCTGGAAAGAACACTTGTTTGCCATGTAGCAATAAAAAATATACTAAAAACCTGGATTATTCTGGTTAGTCACATTGTACTGCTATTATTTTGAACAATACTGTATGTTAATAGTTAATTGTTGGGACAAACATCACAGGGTCAGCCCCTGATCTTGACAGGAGCGACCCAACCCGATGTGTGACCCTGAGGAGGGAGCTTGTCAAAGAGGGTGTCATCAGTCCAGTAATGCTATATGTAGTTTAGAGAAATGAAACAGTGACCTGGCCTTCCTCCCCCATGCTGTGCCCCCCAGAGAAACCCTTAGAGTGACCTCAGATGGCATGGCTCAGCTGCTAGGGACAGGACGGAGCATTCCCTAATACAACTCCTGGTTTGTTAATGGTGGAGAAAGATGAATGGGTAAATAAGACAGTTTGATAGAAAATGGGTGATTGTAAAATAAAATAATAATTAAAAAAAAATAAGAAAGCGATTTTGATCATATACATACAATATATACTTTTCCATATAAATATTTATGCATACCCAGATATATATGTATACGCATATCCATAAAACAAAAATAAATGAAATTAACAAATCAGTAAATGATTAGAAAGAGAGAGGAAAGGAAAAAAGAAAGAAAGAAGGGGGGTTGGTTAAATTGTCTGTTAATCTGGTTTGATTGATAGGTGTGATATACTCAAGACAGTAGCATGGACAATGAGAAATGAGGATTAATAACATTATCAGTAATAGAATAAAAGCTGCTTGTTATATTTCTGAGTTTGTGGGAATGTGCATGGCCTCAACCCCTGCTATCTGGTTTAAGTTAAAAGTGATTAGAAACAGATTCCAAGTGTCAGTAAACAAATCCTTTCCCCATTGAGTCATAGGTATTGTTATTGTTCTATCTGTATTTAACATTAGTTTGTAAAGTTTAGATACTATCTTCTTTGAGTTTGTAAATTCTGTTATCTCCTCAACTAGCTTGAAAGGTTGTTGACTATATTGATCTTTGATTTCATTATGAGTTTTGACTGTTGATACTGGAGAAATTCTCTTCTTCCAACTCCATACTTCTGGACTAATCTATTGAATGGTATGAGCTGGATGTTTTCAAATAAAAATGATGAAGGTGAGTGATTCCTTTGTGTTGCCATGTTGGAAAGTGGATGGGATTATTATGAAGTTGAAAGTCAGGGTTATGCCAAATTGGATTTTGTTAAAAAATGTAATAAACATCTCCGTTCCAAAAAAAAAAAAAAAGAATGTTAATGATGATTTAGTGGTTTGTATACATTGTTGTATTACAGTGGACCAGAATGTTTAAAGGCCTGCTTGGAATAAACCTTAAATTACCAAAATAAATGTGAACCATTATTGCAAGAAAAAAAAAGTATGGTCCTGATCCAGGTAGTTTTGAAGCCTGAAATTGTCCCTTGGCTGGATCACACTAATATATAGCCTAATCCTAATCATCATGCCTGACAGAGCCATGAGAGGAAATCACAAAGTCCATGATTTACAGGGTAACATTATTTCGTAGGCCTACTTACATGGATATTCATCTGACACCTATTATCTATAGGCTACATTTAGTCTATTATCTTTGGACAGTTAACAATGGCCACTTTAATGTGATATGCGACGACATCCTCTTAAATAAGAATAGGAATACGCTTATTAGGAATAGGCAGAAAAATGTGTTTGGGGTTGTGTTAATTATCAAAAGGCACGACTGATTAGGATTAGGGATAGGCCTGTATTTAAGTGGAAACATGTCGACAGAAAAAGAGCATTTATCCCGGAGTGCTTCAACCATGGACATACAGTATATCTTCCACTCAATTGCTTTGACCTAAAGGCAATCATTTAGGAGGAAGAAACGGTATGACAGACAGTCCGGGCAGCCAATAGCTGATCCTGATGATTATTCCAACGGCCCAATCACCGACTCGGTTACGGAGAACGGTGAGCAGTGCACATTTCAGCACCTGGGAGCTGTCCGTTGTGTACGAGCCAGCCGACAACTGACGGTAAGAAGAAAAACATGCATTCGCTGCCTGTTAGCACCGCAATAATATAAATCAGCAGCGATGGCACACAAAACAGAGATGTGAAATCAGCTAAAGGCAGGTTTGTCTTCGCCGACCTGCCGCTCTGTGGTATTCAGACATCTGCGACACTCAGGTGTCTCAACAACAGTGTCCACACGGATTAGTTTGTGCTGCTGAAACCTGTTGATGCCATCTAGCTACATTCTTGAAATATTCGTAGGAAACCGACAGATGAAACCGTCTGCTTGGCCGCAGCTGGTGGCAGCAGTTTGAATGCGAGTTAACGGTGGCTCAGACAGACCTTTTTCTAAGGCTATGTTTGTATTAATAGCCTACTAGTTATTGTCAGGCATTTGTGTTGACATTAGTTTCCTTTTCTATATGTCTTCCTTGTCTAGCTTATAACCTACAGTAGGACTAAATTGAGCGCGGTTTTGGTGAAATACACGTTAATAATGCACCTGGGTTAAAACTGATCCTTTAGTGCAAATGAATGAATGAACTGCAGCTGCAACGACAGCTGGTGTATTATATTTATAGATGTGCAACTTTAATCTGTCAGTCAGATTTTGTGATTGTGTTACCTTATGTGCCTAATGACCAAACCGTGCTCAAGGCCAATAAAGACTAGCCATACCTAGAGCTACTCAAACCAGCCAAGGGACTATGTGCACAGTTAAAAGCCAGCTGATCAATTTTAAACTGTTATGTTCCTTTCCCTGTTTTCCTGCTGTTTTTCTGGGTGAGTGTGAACCAAGTCTGTCTCCTGGAAACACATTTACTTTTAATTGGCGTTTTTAATGGCAGACATTATAACATGTCAGAGCAAGAAATTGTTTTAGGTGTAATAGCATTCATGAAGATAATAATTTAAGTATGCAAAACAACGTTTAGTGCCATTTAATCAGTCTGGTGTTTTCTTGATGCTTGATGTCCTTCAGCTCATGTCAAGTAGTGGCTGTTCTTAAAACCTTCCTAAATTAAAAAGGTCAAAACGGTAGTGCCACTTTGTCATCAAATTAACTCTGCTGTGTAACACATCGCTTGGGGATCATAAATTCTTTAGTACAGAAGATAAAGATTTACATTCAAACCCTACAAGAAACAGAAAAAGAAAAGGGAAACTGAAATGAAAAATCAAGAGAATATTTTCCCAGAGGATGTTAGCATTACATTAGAGGAAGTAGAGAGCAAAGCCTTGTCTTTTTTCCAAAATTTAAGCTAAAAAAATCACTGCATGTTCCTGCAGCATGTGCAATGCAGTCATTAATGTGACAACTGCACTTGACCACTGTTCAGATGATTACATCATTATGTAATGAAAAAGAGTGGACAGTGAGAAATTGATATGTAAATCAACCAATTTGCACCTTACAAGAAGAGGTTAGAGGGTAACTGGTCAAAAGCTTTTTGAAGATTACCTTTGATAGGGAATCCCTGGCCTTAGTTCTTTATTTCAGTTTGATGCCTCAAAAACCCTGTTTATTGTGAAAGCCTAAGTGATTAAACTCAATTAGCAAATGTGTTAACTAGGGCAGTCTTAGGTCAGCAGTCAAAGGAAATGACATTTTCTGTTGGGTTTTTTTAAAGCTCTTGGTTTTAGGCTGGGTAGCAACTGAGTGGACATCATTCAGTCGCTGATTCACAGTAACAGTATTCAGTCGTAGATAAGCAGCAGTCTTAGCCAATCACGGCACATAAGAATAAATCCTCTCTACACATCTCTCTTTTTTAATCATCTTATTCTCTCTAACCTGTGGATCTGCTGATTATTCTGAGTACTGTCGTTGGTGTCATATTGAACTGCACAATGATACAACACATAACAATGCATAATAAAAACACAATGAACAAATGATCTTTAGACTCTGGGGAAGATTAGTTATTAGTAAGTTATGTGAAAAAATGCACATTTGCTTATTACTGCTATTAGTGTATTTAGATTAGTTAAACTATTGCTTGTCTACATAGCCATAGGCACTAAAGCAATATTAAGGAAGATGTAAAAACACAGAAAGTATAACATATTACTAAGAGGTGTGGAAAAGCTCTGGATTTGTATTTGTAAAATAACTTAAATATAACATAGCTAGCACATAGTTGGCACTGTCCTAACAGATATCGAGGTGGTGGGTGTGAACCTCATGAGTTTGCATGTTCTCCCGGTGCCTGTAAGGGTTTCCTCCAGCTTCCTCCCACAGTCCAAAGACATGAGAGTTAGATGATTGACTCTAAATTGCCCTTAGGTGGGAATGTAAGTGTGTGTGGTTGTTTTTCAGCCCTGTGATAGACTGGAGACGTGTACATGGCGGACCCTACCTCCCATCCAGTGTTGGCTGGGGCAGGCTCCAGCTCCCCCGCGACCCTATAGGATAAGTGGTATAGCTAATGGATGGATGATTAACATCATTAGTGTCATGCATGTGTTTATGTGTCTCTAGGTGAGGATGGCCAAGGTGAAGCAGGTGGGCTTGCTGGCAGCAGGATGTCAACCCTGGAATAAAGATGTGTGTGCTGCTAGTGGAGACCGCTTCGCCTACTGTGCTACATTGGCCATATACATTTACCAGGTGACCCAACTACATGTGGATTTGTGTCCATGCAGGTGGTAAAGGTTTAAAATCAGAGGTGGCATTATGCTCTAGAGGTTACCTGCTGGAGCAGCTCTGATATCTTATTGTTCAATTCACCACTGAAACTTAACTTTCATCATGTGTCATGGGAAATGTGAGCTCACTGGTAACATATGAATAACTGACCTAGTACAGTGTAGTACATTGCACAGGCAGTTAACTAAAGTACATATGTGCTGGGTGCTGCAAACCTCATACATTATAATAATACACAGCATCCTGTATTGAAATCCCCAAATTCAGTTATTTACATCGTTCAGTCACTGCACTGTACCTGTCTAATGTTTCAAGTGTTTAGACGTCTGGACAGAATGAGCTCCCAAAATCTTTACAGTCATGCATTCAGTACCACAAAGAGGTTTCATAAAATCATGTCATTGCAGAATTTATGTTGAACTCATAACAGGACAAGATCAGAGCTGTTGGTTTTCTTTGAATTCCTTGTCCTCTTTCAATCTCTTTCTTGTAGTTGGACCAACAATACAATGAATTTAAGTTGAGATCTATCATGTCAGAACACAAGAAGACCATAACAGCTATCAGCTGGTGTCCTGACAACCCCGATTTGTTTGCATCAGCTTCTGCTGATAACCTGCTCATCATATGGAATGTAACAGAGCAAAGGGCTGTAGCAAGGCTGGACAATACTAAAGGTAAATGGACAATGTAGTGGAGTGTTCAAGATCAGATTTTTGCAATGTCCTCCACCTATACCGTATTACAATGTCTCCTCTGTCTCCCCAGGTGTCCCTGCATCAGTCAGTTGGTGCTGGAACTCAGCTGACGGAGTGGCGTTTGTCTCCCAGCGTGGGCCACTGTATATCTGGGTCTATGGAGGTCCTGACCCTGGGGTTACAGTGCATAAAGAAGCCCACTCCTTCCTATCTGATATCTGTCTCTTCAGATGGCACCCCAGCAAGAAGGGCAAACTGGTGTTTGGACACACAGATGGCAGTCTATCTATCTTTCAGCCAGGTAAGGATGGACATCTGAGAGTAACAGTTTATCTCAGCTCATTAAAAGTTGAATTCAAATAGACAGACATCTTGCTTGGAGGAGACTTGTTATGCTCTGCATAAACAGAGTCGTGTTCCTGCAAGCACACATCTTTATTAATCTCCCTCTGTTGCCTCTTTTTAGGGAATAAAAGCCAAAAGCATGTGTTGCGTCCAGAGTCGTTAGAGGGGACGGATGAAGAGGATCCAGTTAGTGCTCTGGAATGGGACCTTTTGTCAACTGACTATTTACTAGGTTAGACAAAATAATAACAACATTACCAAGGCTTTGTTATTTCAAGTTTTTGTTGAGTAATTACAGGTTAGTACCATGACATAACATTCTAGTAACCTGGTGCTTCGATTGCTGAACGGTTATGGTGTGGCACAACATGTAGCACACTAAGTGCCCGATGTCGGCAGCTCAAGTCTGACCACTGACTTATGTGGCAGGCCTCCTCTCTGTCTCCCTTGTTTCTTGTCTGTCTCTCTGTAACTAATTTTCTCCCCAAAATAACAACAGTAAAGGTGTAAGCCTTAAAAAAGATAACTTTAAACTGCTATTAATAAAAACACAACATTTTGTGTATTTACGTAACCCATTGGCAGCACAGCAGTGCTGCAGATAGCAAGAAGGTTCTGGGTCCAAGTCCCGGCCAACCTGGGGACTTTCTGTGCAAAGTCTGCATGTTCTCCCTGTGCCTGTGTGGGTTCTCTCTGGGCACTCCAGCTTTCTCTCACAGTCCAAAGACCTGCAGCTTATGTTGACTGGTGACTCTGAATTGCCCATAGGAGTGAGTGTGAGTGTGTGTGTGGTTGTCTGTCTCTAAGTGTCAGCACTGTGATAGACTGGTGACCTGTCCAGGGTGGACTGGGCCTCTCACCCAGTGTCATCTGGGATAGGCTCTGGCCTCCCCGCGACCATATTCAGGAATAAGCGGTATAGATAATGGATGGATGGATGGATGGATATGTAACCCATCCAGTAAATTGTTATTACAAAAATCTCTGTGACTATAACTGCAACCAAAGATACCAAATGATGAACACTCTGTCTCTACCATAGTGTCTAACCTCCATAATGGGATCAGGCTGGTGGACAGCGAGGCCTTGACATGTATCACGTCCTTCTGCTTCCCCTCAGCTGCTGCATCAGTTCAGTGTCTGGCCTGGGTCCCCTCTGCACCAGGCATGTTCATCACTGGAGGTAAAGGCTGTATATTGTTATGTAGGATGTGTTTATTGCTACGGGGGAACAAGTACTCAGATCCTTTATTTAAGTAAAAGTACAAATACAACAGTGTAAAAATACTCTGTTACAAGTAAAAGTGCTGCATTTTACTTGAGTAAAAATACAAAAGTATCAGCATCAAAACATACTTAAAGTACTAAAAGTAAAAGGGCTCATTATGCAGAATGGCACATTTCCCATTCCTGTATCTCATATTATTGTATTATAATTACTGATGCATTATTTTGTTTATCACATTTAATGTTGCAGCTGGTAAAGGTGGAATTAATTTAACTATCTTATATTCTTATAATCTGAAATACTGCTGGGTAACTTGTGAATTTTCCACCTATAGTTTTTGTATTAATTTGGTCCTGAAAAATAACTAGTAACTACAGTTCTAAACTAAATGTAGTGAAGTAAAAAGAATATTTGTCTTTAAAATGTAGACTTGCCTTTCAACATGCCAGTCATTTGGTATGTGGGCCATCTGCCTGTGTTTTACAGATACATCGTATTAATGAGTACATTTGTTTTAAAACCATGATGATACTTTTGAAATAGTTAAACTGATTTGCCTTTGTGTGTGTGTCAGACTCCCAGGTTGGAGTATTGAGGGTATGGAATGTATCTCGCTCCACTCCTTTGGACAGCTTTAAACTGAAAAAGACCGGATTTCATGCTCTGCATGTCCTCCAATCCCCTCTTGTCAAGAAAGGTAACCTGTTTGACTTGTTGTGTGACTCTCAAAAGTCCATAAACCACAAATTGCAGTGGATACATTCTTACAAGAACAAGTTTAAAATGCTTGAAATAAGGTGACTGAATGTTACGAAATGTCAAGATGATTTTCTTGACACTAGACACTGTATATTTTTTTCCTTTGACTTATTCCACAGCTCCAAGTTCCTGTTCTCCCAGTAAAAGTCAATACACCAGTTCCACCAGTGAGGCGGTACCTCCCCCAACTCTGTCACAGAACCGCTCCTTCTCTCTGCCTCCTGGCCATGCTGTGTGCTGCTTCATGGATGGAGGGGTGGGCCTCTATGACATGGGTGCCAAAAAGTGGGACTTCCTACGAGACTTGGTATCTTATAACAGCCTACACATACAGTACATACACTTTTGCTGTGTTTTTGTCTTCTGATTTCTTTGCTCTTTCGCTCTGGTTTTCTGTTGCTTCTAGGGTCATGTAGAGACTATCTTTGACTGTAAGTTTAAGCCAGATGATCCCAACCTGCTGGCAACAGCTAGTTTTGATGGAACCATCAAAATCTGGGACACAAACACACTAACAGCTGTTTACACCTCCCCGGGAAATGAAGGAGTGGTTTACTCCCTGTCCTGGGCGCCAGGTACAGGAACTCCACCTCTACACGCACGCACACACACACACACACGCATACACACATCATGCTTGTCAGTCACTGTAGGTGATTCATACATGTAACACAACACTCACACATCCCCGCCCGCAAAAGACAAGTACATACACAAACCGGTTAGTTAGCAATATTTCAGTAAAGTGTATCCTCTTCATATGAAAGTTGCTGACCTTCTGTCTGTGTGTGTTTTGAAGGAGACCTGAATTGCATTGCAGGAGCGACATCTCGAAATGGAGCATTCATCTGGGATGTCAGGAAAGGAAAGATCATCACTCGCTTTAATGAGGTTACTTTGACTATAAGTGCAAACTAATTCACCTGTGAATCATTAATTTATGAAATTCACCCGAGTATTGCTTAGTTTAATCAAATAAGTTAAAATATGATTGCTCCCCTCTCTTATACTAACAATAAAAAAACCTGCTCCAGTTGTAAAATGTTGTTTCTATACCAGCTGAAGAAATGTTATTATTTTATCCTTGCAAAACTATGCCTTAAGTAATGCATCTAACTCCAGCTTGGCAAAGATGATGGCTATGTTGACCTTTCTGTCTTCCACCAGCATGGTAAGAATGGTATATTCTGTATATCATGGAGCCATAAGGATTCCAAGAGGATCGCCACCTGTAGTGGAGACGGATTCTGGTAAGTACTCATCTTTCCTGATTGACTTATTTATGAAAAAATAAAACTATATATTTATACACAGAGAGAGTCTTATGTGTTTTATTTTGTTTTGACATCAGTATCATTCGGACCATTGATGGTAAAATCCTCCATAAGTACAAACATCCTGCTGCTGTGTTTGGCTGTGACTGGAGCCAGAACAACAAGTAAGACATCAGTCCATCTGTTGACAGTTACCTCATGCAGAACCTGGCTACAAATGGCAGACCGGATAATTATCACTTTACTTATTTCTCTTATGTGAACAGTTTATATATACAGTAGTCAGCCACAGTTACAAGATATTACCTGATAAACAAAGCAGGACTGAAGGCTAATAGGAGTGAAGCAAAATAAACAACAACAACAAAAACCGGTGAAATAGGTTCAAATGTGTTCAGCATCTGTCTTTTTATACCTTTAACAAATCTGTCTTTGCAAGAAAGGATGGAGATAACTGTATGTGGGAGAGGGGAATATAGATGAAATACAGAGAAAGATATTCTACATAAGAACAAGAGAGGTGCCAAACACATCAGCTGAACATTGGTGTGGCTCCTAAAAATACTGTCAATGCAAAATCGAACAGACTCCGACCATGTTTACAGTGATGTTCAAGCACACTCATACTGTCCATGGATTTCACATATGTTCCTGCCTCCTTCTCTCTCTCTGCAGGGATATGATAGCCACAGGCTGTGAGGATAAAAATGTTCGGGTATACTACCTGGCCACCAGCTCTGATCAGCCTCTGAAGGTCTTCACTGGGCACTTAGCTAAAGTATTCCATGTTCGCTGGTCTCCACTCAGAGAGGGAATACTGTGTTCTGGATCAGATGATGGGTGAGTGCAGACAGAGACCACAGCGTGCTGCAGGCTGTTTTTTTTCTCATGGTTGAGATGAACACTGAAACTGCTTCACTGCAGGAATAAGGCACAAAAACAACAAGAAACTGTGAGCATAAGTCATATAGAGTAAATGAGCAAATTACAAAGTGTGGACATTGATTTGATCATTTGTCATTTATAACAGTCACACATGTGAATGCATCTGCTTTTTATATGGTGAAGAAAAAAGATTAGGCATTTAAGAAATCATTACAAATGAACTCAAAGAGAACCCCTGTGTGTCTGTCTGTGCAGTACTGTTCGTATATGGGACTACACACAGGATGCATGTATCAATGTGCTGAGTGGTCATACAGCTCCAGTCAGAGGCTTGATGTGGAACACAGAGATTCCTTACCTACTCATTTCAGGTAATGTCACCACAAGTACGGGGTGATTTTCTGGCTATCTTCTTTTATACCAGATGTTTAGTGATCAGTATGTTATCAGTGTCTTGCTTGTCAGGGCATGTCTATCCAGTGCAGTCCGAACATGCCGACAGAAATAAACCCAGTAAACCACTACCAAAGCAATGGGTGTTACAAACAGACTTTCTGACTGTCTAATCATATAACCAGTACGCATTTATGTCACTGTATATTTGCATTTTTAAGCTTTTCAGTAACACGATGCTGTTACCATTTTTGCATTTCCACACAAACTCAGTGCTGTGATTGCAGCCAAAGGTGCATTGTTTAGCTGAGAGCTTCACTGTAACCTCTAAAAATGTAAGGTAAAATTTGACAGAGAAATAAGTAGTTAATGGATTACAGTGATTTTAAAATTACAGCATTATGACAGATGGTGGCAGATAGACTCCATCTCCCCCCCATTCAGGAATAAGAAGTATAGATAATGGATGAATGGCTGGACTTTAGGTACCGACAGTAAAATACAGCTCATTTGCGACATCTAGTGGGTGTGGAACAAACTGCGATATCAGGAAATACAGGTTTCTGTGGTCCTCCATATCTGAGCAAATTATACATTGGAATTTCACTTACAAACATTAGTTGTTAGTTACAGCTGATGTAGTACTTCAGGAAGGAGCTGAAACTATATATTATACTACTGTATTATGTGTTTGTTTATGTAACAGTGGCATACCATTCAATAGTAGCACTGTGATTGCATAAATATTGACCCCCTTTAAAATGACTGACCTAATGCAACAGAGGTCCAGCCAGTTGGTGCTAGTAGTCTCACAATTAGTGAAATGGGAATCACAAAAGTGCAGTAATTGTGTCTCAAGTGACTGGGAGGAGGAAAATCCTAGAGGACAAACTTATTCAGTCTGCAAGAAAACTAGGCTTGGGAGAAGATTTATTTTCCAGCAAGACAATGAGCCAAAGCATACAGCGAAAGCTACACAGAAATGGTTTAAAGACAACAAGGTGAGTGTTCTGGAGTGGCCAGGTCAAAGCCTAGACCTCAATCCAATAAAGAATTTGTGGCTGGATGTGAAAAGCGCTGTTCACGCCCGATCCCCATGCAACCTGGCAGAGCTTGAGCAGTGTTATAAAGAAATATGGAGTAAAATTGCAGTGTCCAGATGTGCAAGCCTGACTGAGAACTATCCACACAGAGTCAGTGCTGTGATTGCAGCCAAAGGTCATCTACTAATTACACATTACATATTTTTATTTAATTGACATTACTTTGTAGAAACCAGTTTTCACTTTGACAGTAAAGGTTTTTTGTCAAAAAAGCTAAATTATATTGACCATGATTGATTTATAAAATCAATAAAAGGGTAAAACATGGAAACCTCAGTTAGATACATGAATTGTGGAAGCTTAGTGTGCAGTTATCTGCACAGAGCCAGTCATATATTACCAATCTTTGTGGCACAAGACACAAATTGCTTGTAGTGAGGATAAAGTACATTTTTCTCTTACTGCTCTCTGACACAGTCTTGTTTGAGATCCAAAATAATTATGACTTGTATTAGACCCAGTCATAATTTATAAGTTGTATGGTGCGATGTTTCAGATTAGTAGTGTTATAATGGTAGGTGTACATTGTGCAGTGATGGGACTATCTATCCATTATCTATATCTTTTATCCTAACAAGGGCCACAGCGGGGGCTGGAGCCAATCCCAGTTGATACTGGGTGAGAGTAGAGTAGAGTAGAGTAGAGTAGGTACTTTACTGAGGCGGGGTACATCCCGGACAGGTCGCCAGTCTATCACAGAGCTGACACTTAGAGACAGACACAACCACCCACACTGACACTCACTCCTACAGGCAATTTAGAGTCGCTAATCAACCTAAGCTGCATGTCTTTGGACTGTGGGAGGAAGCCGGAGTACCCGGAGAGAACCCACACAAGCACAGGGAGAGATGCGACTATGCTAACATAATTTGTTCTAACCACAGTCAATTGTAAAATGTTATGTTATTTTGTAGGTTCTTGGGATTATACAATCAGAGTGTGGGATACAAGAGATGGCACATGTCTAGATACAGTTTTTGACCATGGAGCTGATGTCTACGGTAAGACAGTATAATATCATTAAAAGAACAACCTACTAGACTATTAATGCTGGGTATCAAGTGGAGGATATGTGATGAATGAGGTTAGATGATATTATGTTAGATAAATATGAGCTAATTTAGATTCAAATAGCATGCATTATACAGCAAACACAATTTTCTATTGCTGTAGAAAGGCACTGCATGACATTCAGTTATTTCTGACAAGGGCATCTATTGCATTATATATATTTCAGTCAGAACAGAAACACATGGCTTCATTAAATTCTGATTCTTATCTTCTTCTCCACTGAAGATTTCCTTCTGTGCAAGTATCCCTGCACATCACACAAGCTCAATGTGACAGATCATTAAATCCATTCATCAAACTGTGTGTGTGTTGAACTGTAGGTTTAACATGCCACCAGAGTCGTCCGTTCACCATGGCCAGCTGTAGTAGAGACAGCACAGTCAGGCTGTGGTCTCTCACACCGCTCATCTCTCCACTGCTGTTGAACATCCTCACTGATCAGCCTTGGGAAAAGATCATTGGAAACACAGGTGAGAACAGGCCTGGCCTGCTCTGGTTTATGACATTCTGTTCTAAATCCTCACCAAACTGTGGCACTTGTGTGTCTCTGCAGACACAGCAATGGTTCCTGGCTGCCCTCCACTGCTCTGTGGTAAAGTGTCTCGAGACATCAAACAGGAGCTTGACAAACTGAGCTTAGACATCAAGGCCAAGAAGCTACGCTGGTTCTCCGAATGCTTTTTGGTAACTACGTTCTGAATGCTTAATTATTAGTGGTGACATGGTGATAATATGGCACCTAATTCAATCTGTTACATTCATGCTCTGTCAAAGTTGATGAGTGCTTTTGAACAGAGTCTGTATTATCAGCAGCTTGTCTTAGAGGATGCAACACAAAACTAGAGCAAGGATTGTAGATTAGGTCTGCAAACATGTAATGTGCTTCTGCTGCTAAATGTCTGTACTGTACATTTTACTCCTGGAGCCTTTTACATGGGAGTTTGTTTTAATAAGAACCTTTGCACATCAAAGTAGTTTGAACTGAAAATCTAGAAATCAGTTCACAAATACAAGTAGAAAATGTAAATATATTTAAATGTCTTGTTAGCATATTATTTCTGTTGCTGGTACACCATATATTTTAAATCATTTGGTTGATTAATGGGTCTGAGGCTGCAGGATAGTGAAAAAGTGAGGAAGCTCAATTCTTCCAAGTTTGTTCCACCTAACAACAGCCTCTCTCCTTCATATGCTTTGTTTATGCTTACCTAAAGAAGTCTACAACAGCAAAACATATTCTGAGACACTGATACATGCAAATTTTAAACACTGCTAGAAAAAAAGTCAATGAAATGTTGAAAATTATGCCAATGTAAACAAATACATCAAACATAGTTTTTCATTGGTGAATCAGTGTTATTAATTTGTTTGTGTGAGTGTGTGTGTGCATGCTTCATGTGTTTATGGCCAAATTTGTTTACTTTATCCTGTGGCAGCCTCCAGGAGGCAGCAGTAACCTGTGGGACCTGGTGTCAGTCATTAACGGCCAGGACGACTCATTGCTACCAGCCAGCTACAGCAAAGGAGTGATGCACATGAAGCACCTGCTCAAGTTTAAAACAGTAAGCCACTCTGATTAATCACCTAAAAGCCATCATGTGCAAAAACCTAGGGAGACCACACAGTGAAGGTTTTTTACAAGCCGCTCAGCTATAGAGAAGTTAATAAATACATTATGATTCTAAAATTCATTAAATTATTACCTCTGCCGAGGGCAGGGGTTGTATTTTTACCTGTTTGTTGGTTTATTATTTAACTGGATAACTCAAAATGTTAAGAATGGATTTTGATGGCATTTTTTTTGGAGAGGTAGTGTATGGGCCATGGAACAATTGATTAGATTTTGGTGCTGATCTGTATAATAATTGGAATGCAGGAATTTTTCAAATCAAATCAAATCAAATTTATTTATATAGCACTTTAAAAACAACATCCAGTTGACCAAAGTACTTTACATAGACAAAATAAAATCACGATAAATAACTAAATAAAATAGATTCAGTGCAAAAATAAAACAATAAGTCAGACACACAGATGACACACATTCAATAAATTAGATTAAAAGGAATGCATCAGGCCCTACTGTGCATTAAAAGCCAAGCCAAATAAATATGTTTTAAGCAAGGATTTAAAAGTAGTCAGGTCAGTAGCTGATCTAACATTAAAAGGTAGACTATTCCACAATTTAGGGGCTGCAACAGTAAAAGCACGATCACCCCAATGTTTATATCTGGCCATAGGAGCCTCTAAAATAAACCGGCTTGAAGATCTGAGGTACCTTGTAGGTTTGTACCAATGCATTAATTCAGTGAGGTAAGATGGTGCCAAACCATTAACAGCCTTAAAAACAAAAATCAACAGTTTAAAATCAATTCTAAATGGACTGGAAGCCAGTGGAGAGAAGCCAGAACCGGGGTTATATGCTCAAATTTTCTGGTACTTGTCAGAAGACGAGCAGCAGCGTTTTTAACCATTTGAAGACGAGAGAGGGAGGACTGGTTAACACCATAGTATAGAGCATTGCAATTGTCAAGGCAGGAGGTGATAAAAACATGGATTGCAATCTCAAAATCATTAAAAGAAAGGAATGACTTGTCTTTACTTAACAACCTGAGGTGAAAGAAGCTAGATTTCACAGCTGAGTTAATTTGCTTATTAAACCTTAACTCGCCATCAAACATCACCCCTAGGTTTTTTACTGTCGACTTCAGATGACGAGCCACGGGGCCCAGACCCTGGTCAGAAGACGTTAAGTTCACCAAGTCTCCAAAAAGCACACACTCAGTTTTATTTTCGTTAACATTTAAAAAGTTAAGTGCCAGCCATGATTTCAAGTCTGTCAAACAGTCAAACAATGGCTGTAATGACATCCCTCTCGTTGCCTTCAATGGTAAGTATATCTGAATGCCGTCTGCATAACGGTAAAAACAAAAGCCATGTTTCCTTAAGACAGATCCTAATGGAAGCATGCACAGTGAGAACAGAATAGGGCCAAGCACAGATCCTTGGGGGACACCACAGGAAAGGATTGTTGAAGAGGAGGAACAGGAACCAATATTAACAGTAAAACTTCTATTAGTGAGATAAGATCGAAACCAGTTAAGAACAGTACCTTGAATTCCTACACACTGCTCCAAAGGAGATAGGAGGATTTCATGATCCACTGTATCAAAGGCAGCAGTGAGATATAAAAGCACCAATAAAACCGAATCCCCGGTGTCCCTAGCCAACAAAATATCATTACTGATTTTTAATAATGCAGACTCAGTACTATGTTTTGATTTAAAACCAGATTGAAATTGCTCCTCAATGCCATTGCCTGCCAAAAAAGACTGGAGTTGGATAAAAACAATCTTCTCCAGAACTTTAGACATAAAAGATAATTTAGAGACTGGCTTAAAATTAGAGAACACTAAAGGGTCAAGATTTGACTTTTTGAGAAGAGGCTGGACAATCACTTTTTTAAAAGCATCTGGAACTGAGCCTGTCCTTAAACATAAATTAATTAGAGCCATAAAGCTAGGCCCAACAGAGTCAAAAACATCCTTAAACAATCTAGTCGGCGAATAATCCAAAGAACAGTGAGATGCTTTCATCTGGTGAACCAGTTCAGATAGCATAGGCAAAGATAGAGGCTCAAACCGATCAAAGACAGCAGTATGCAGAGGAATATCAGCTGGGTCAGGATTAGTAGAACTGGAGGACTGCCTAATGCTAGTGACTTTATCAGTAAAACATTGAAGAAAACCCTCACATACTGCTAATGATGCCTCAGGATGAGAAGCAAGGTTACATGGGTTGATAACAGAATTAATTGTACTGAACAAGACCAAGGTTTATGACGATTATTGACAACAATGTTGGACAGATAGTTCGATTTAGCAGATTTCACAGCCTTCTGATAGTCAGAGAGACAACCCCAGAAATGGCAGAGAGAAACGTGAAGTTTACCCTTGCTCCATTTATGTTCAGCTTGCTGACATCTTTGTCTAAGTGCCCAAATAGAATTGTTTAGCCAAGGCACTACTTGCAATTTGGCTGGTCTGCATCGAAGAGAAGCGATGACATCCAATATGTCCTGGCAAGTGGTAGTTATTGAACTCAATAGTTCCTCAGTATTCATACAAAGAGGAGCGATGAAATCCAACATGTCCTGGCAAGTGGTAGTTAATGAACTCACTAGTTCCTCAGGATTCATATGAGGAGACATCATCTACCAGATACAAACCAGAGTTTTTAAAATGAATAGAAAACTCTTCTGCTGTAAAAGAAGTAGGAATAAAAGGTTTGTCTACCAGTGACAGAGCAGCAACACTGAATAAAACAGGCAAGTGATCTGAAAACCGAGAGTCACAAATTTTGGTAATGGAAACAGGCAGTCCATGAGAGATCACAAGGATTTTAAAAAGATTCTTCACCACTGTGAGTGCTGGAGAGGCTGTTGAGTATATGTGAGCCCCCTTGTGGCCAAAGTGCGCTGCTGCACTGCTGAGCACTCTCATTACATATGGAGACAAAGCCCTGTGTTAGTGACAGCTGCCCATTCATTGTCAATGGAAACCGAGTGCTGTCACTCAGTACACCCTGATGTGTGAGACAGCGACTGAAGGAGCTCAGCGAGGTGATAGCCCAAAGTTGGGGAAAGATCTACTTTATGCAGTGACAGCTGGGTGAGAGCCTGATGGCAGAGATTTGGAGTCAGGCTTAAAGCTGTTTGTTTTTCATCATATTGATGCTACATTCTTAAGTTTTGACATTTTCTCAGTGGAGGAAAATGGATGGATGGATGGATTTTCTCAGGTGACAAAGTAACCACTTAGATTGAAAATACGTGGTCAGTCTATTCAGGTAATGCCAATTTAGAATTTATTCTGACTGTTTTCAGAGATGTAAGTGCTTATTATCAAACCAAGCTAGCTCTATTAGCAGGCATGTACATCTCATTCAGAGCACAGTAATCTGTCAGTGAGGACAACAGTGTTCCAGTTGCACATTATAACCATGTTTCCATTGTGGGAAGCTAATGAGCGGCACACCCTGTGCTTCCCTGAACCGTCACCTGACATAACCTCACAGGTTGACACAGATTAACCTGCTTTAATTTCACTGCATTTTGCTCTGTGTCAGTCTCTGCTTAGAGGAGAGAGGGGCTGCACTCCATACATGTTAACCTGGCCAGGAATAAGGAGCAGCACTGTGTATACAGAACATATAGTTCTGTATTTACACTGTGTACACACTGAATAAATATAATAATTTTTTAAAATAATAACAGGAGAACTACACTTGGTTCACACTGTTTACAAAACATACAGTTTGAATGGAAAACCACCATTACCTTTATGTCTGTCTCTCAAATAAATATAGTTGCTTTATCTTTATCTAGTTTACAATAATTCAATAATAATTACTCAATAATTGACATATTTTTGTAGTACCTGCTCAGCTACAGCATGGAATTACTCTTATAGCTAACCCTTAGGCACATGCTAACTATGATTATACAACAACATGATCAACTGTTCCTTTCTTAATATTTAAACATTTCTTGTATTCAGTTCAGCTGAAGTTCATCTGGAGATAGTACAGATGTGGACAAATTTGTTGGTGCCCTTTCAGCTCGCTGAAACAATTCTACGTTCTTCCTGAAAACTGATGAATTTAAAAGCAATTGTCTGATGTATACCTGCAGAATCAGAATCAGAATCTCCTTTATTGGCCAGGTGTGTTAGACACAGGTGCATCGGCTCTCAATGTGCAAACAGCAAACCAGCATAAGGCTGTGTAATATAACAAAAATAAGCAGTATTTACAAGCAACAGAAAGTGCAAACAATGCAGAATAAGCAGTATGAACAGACAGTAACAATGCAGACAACAAAGGAATGTTCTTTGTAATGAGATAAGTAGGGATAAAAATAGAGTAATTAAAACAGAGTACTAGAGACCTGTATGAGTCTGTATAATCTGTACAATGTATATATTTACAGGTATTGCACTGAGGTTTATTGTCCAATCATATGGTCATTGGTTAAGTGCTCATCAGAGTGACAGCCAGGGGGAAGAAACTGTCTCTGTGCCTGGTTGTCTTAGTGCACAGTGACCTGTAACGCCGTCCAGAGGGGAGAAGTTCAAATAGATTGTATCCCGGGTGTGAGGGGTCTGCAGTGATCCTCTCCGCCCTCCTTTTGACCTGTGAGGTGTACAGGTCCTCCATGGAGGGCAGGCTCACACCAATGACCTTTTCTGCAGTCCTGACTGTCTGCTGAAGTCTGTACTTGTCCTGTTTGGTTGCTGACCCAACCAGACAGTGATGGAGGTGCAGAGAACAGACTCGATGATTCATCTGTAGAACTGTATCAGCAGCTCCTGGGGCAGGTCGAACTTCCTGAGCTGGCGCAGGAAGTACATCCTCTGCTGTGCCTTCTTGACAATGGTACTGATGTTGGACGTCCACTTCAGGTCCTGGTAGATAGTGGAGCCCAGGAACTTGTAGGACTTTGCTGACTCGTCATCGTCTCGGATGAGACCAATGACCGTTGTATCATCAGCAAACTTTAGGAGCTTGACAGAGGGGTCCTCCAAGATGCAGTCGTTGGTGTAGAGTGAAAACAGCAGAGGGGAGAGCACACATCCCTGGGGGGCGCCTGTGCTTATTGTCCGGGTGCTGGATGTAGTTTCCCCCAGCCTCACCCGCTGCTCCCTGTCTGTCAGAAAGCTAGCAATCCACTGACAGGTGGGGGCAGGCACAGTGAGCTGGGTCAGTTTGGAGTGGAGGATGTCTGGGATGATGGTGTTGAACGCTGAGCTGAAGTCCACAAAGAGGACCCGTGCATAGGTCCCTGGTGAGTTGAGGTGTTGCAGGATGTAATGCAGTGCCATGTTCACTGCGTTGTCCACTGACCCGTTTGCCCGGTAGGCGAACTGCAGAGGGTCTAGCAGGGGGTCTACGATGTCCTTCAGGTGGGCCAACACCAGTCTTTCAAAGGATTTCATAACTACAGATGGCAGGGCGACTGGTCTGTAGTCGTTCAGTCCACTGATGGGGCTTTTCTTGGGGACTGGAATGATGTATGATATATATTATTGCTTATTTCATAAAGATATTTAAATTAGACTGTAGAGATCTGTTGGCTTCCATAGAAAAGATGAAAATCACCTTAATTTGCCTGCTGTTTCGTATCATAGTGTGCACCACAGTAACCATGGATCACAGAAAGCTAAGGAGAAAATTATCTGAGGAGATGAAGAAGAAAATTAGAGGTAAAGACTATAAGACCATCTCCGAGCAGCTGGATGTTCCTGTAACTACAGTTGCAAACATTATTGAGAGGTCTAAGTTCCATGGGACTGTAGCTGACCTCCCTGGACATGGCTGCAAGAGGAAGATCATCCCAAGATTCAACAGATGGGTAAAGCAAATGTTGGACAAAGAGCCAAGGAAGACTTCCAAAGAAATACAAGCTGAACTCCAAGGTCAAGGTATGTCAGTGTCTGATTGCACTGTCTGTCACTTTTTGAGCAACACTGGGCTCAATGGAAGAAGACCCATAAGGACTCCACTGGTGAAAGAACAATGTAAAAATGTCAAAGTGGAATTTGCTAAAATGCATATTGAAAACCACAGTGCTTCTGTGAGAATGTCCTGTGGACAGATAAGACATAACTGGAGCTTTTTGGCAAGTCACAACAGCTCTATGTTCACAGGTGAAAAAAGGAGACTTTCACAGAAAAGAAGCCCATACCCAATGTGAAACATGGAGGAGGCTCAGTTATGTCTTGGTTATGCTGCTTTGCTGTTTCTGGCATGGGGTGCCTTCAATCTGTGCATGACACACTGAAATCTCAAGACTATCAAGACACCCTGGAAGAAGACATACTGCCCAGAGTCAGAGGGCTCTGCTTCAGTCACAAGTCATGGGTCCTCCAACAGGACAATATCCTAAACCACACAACTAAAAGCACCCAGGAATGCTTCTGAAGAAAACACTGGCCTATTCTGAAGTGACCTTCTATGAACCCTGATCTGAATCCTATCAAACATCTATGAGCTGAAACATGCAGTTTGGAGAAGGTACCCTTTAATCCTGATATGGCTGGAGCAGTTAACTCCGGAAAGGTGGGCCAACCTACCCATCATTTTTGTCCACGCCATGTTCATTTGTTTTAAAAGGCAAAGTCTGATTTTTATTAAATATGGAATAAATGATTGACATAATGACTTTTGATAGTTTCTCATTATTTCAGAGAAAATTGTGGGTTCTTCTGTTTTTTTGTGGAAGGGTATCCATAAATTTGTCCATGGCTGTATTTACGATGTTTAAATCTGGAGGTATTTGGGCTCCAAAGGGATTCTGTCTTTCATTTATCGTTTTTTTATCTTTCAGTCTGAAGCCCAGGAGCTGACAATAGTCAAGATGTCTAAATTTGGAGAAGGTATCGGAGCTCCTAGTAAGGAGGAGAGGCTGAAAGAAGCAGCAGACATCCATCTGAGACTGGGACAAATTCAACGATACTGTGAATTAATGGTGGAACTGGGACAGGTAGGCACTGTGTGTGTAATCATTTTCTTCTCTTGAATGCATGTGAATCACATGCTAGTGAGATATGTTGTGTTGACACTGATCCTGTTTGTGACTTACCATTTTAATATTTTACTACATTCTTTAATCATTGACTAGTCTAACTGTATAGTTCCTTTACTTATCCTTTTATACCATGGCAAATGTAAATTTAAGTTTATTATACTAAAAATAAAGGCCTTAAGTCAGGCAAAGTTTTCTAGTAGTCATCAAAACACCAGTGTTAATGTTAAGGCCATCATGAAGCCGATGAAACCACTAAACTGCTTTGCCTGTCATTGTGGAAGCTGAGGAGCCTGCAATTGAAAAGGGTAGGTACGCAGGACCTCTGAAAGAGTGGAGAGGCACAGCAGGGGCAGACAGACAGCTGCACATACCAGTACCACATACAGAGGAGTTTGAATAGGGTATGGTGTTCTTAACCTTAAGTATATTTTATCACAGTATCCAGCCATCCATTATCTATACTGGTTATTCCTGAATAGGGTCATGGGGGGCTGGATCCTAGATAAGTTGCCAGTCTATCACAGGACTGACATGTAGACAAACAACCATACACACTTGCTCCTACAAGCAATTTAGAGTCACCAATCAAGCTAAGCTACATGTCTTTGGACTGTGGGAGGAAACCAGAGCACCCAGAGAGTCACAGGGAGAACATGCAAACTCCACACAGAAAAGCCCCAGGTCGGCCGGGTCTCGAACCTGGCACCTTCTTGCTGTGAGGCAACAATACTAACCACTGCATCGCTGTGCTGCCACAGTAGTGATAGCATTTTTGTTGTCAGAAAAAGACAGAAATGAAAAGAAAGAAACTGATGTATGGACAATGGAATTAAAGGAGTATGAGCCTTTGTATTTTTGTTTCAGTGGGAGAGGGCTTTGTCTGTGGCACCAGGAGTTTCCATGAAATATTGGAAGAAGTTAATGCAGAGGTAAACCATGTTTCTGTTTGTTTTTTCAGCTTTTCAAATAAACACTTAAAGTGAAACACAAGTGTGTAGTGTCATGTTGACTGTTAAGAAGGTTTGCTCAGCAATATATGAGACTGTCTCAGTGACTTTCTCAGTGCATAATGCCACAGTACTAATGCACTTGAAGAGGGGATGGACAAAATAAGGGCAATACTTAAACAGTACAGCACAATCCAGTGTAGTAATCTAGAATAAAGACTGCACTATTTTCAAAATAGAGTCAGAGAGGTGTTTATTCAACATAATGGGAATTTATGAGGCCATAACAGTAAACTAAATATTTGGAACAATATTACCACGATAAAACCACAAACTCTGTCTTCAACAGCAACAGCCCTGACTTCCTTGACACAGTATCAACAAAAGGTAACTACTACTACTCATAGAGGCTAGTATTTTCTGCTTTTCTAATCTGCATTATTATGCATCCAGTATTTGTTACTTTTAATGTGTCCATCCCCCACATGCTTCATGTGGTCTTTTGTAGAGCTTTTTTAGAGCGTGAAGCTTGTACAAGACTTGTTGTTTGGGAATTTTAGCCAATTTTTGGCATGTTGATAATGTACATCAAAATACTACTGCAGGAAACTGTTTATTCCATTTCATTATTCCACTGTTAATTATTATTTTTTGCAACAGAGATCTTGTGTGGCAAGGGAAGTTCATAATGTGCAAGAGAAAAAAAAGGCAGAACAGGATACGGCCCCTAAATAACTTTAGGTAATAAATAATAATAAATTAAAAACTGTAATAAATAAAACAATGTATGAGCTAAAAATGGTGCACAGCAAAGTGAGATATCCTATGCATGCCACATAAACAGGGTCTAGTGAGACTCAAAACAAACTGAAACTATGAGCTGCTCCTAGCTGCTCTTTGTTTCCAAGTGGCAATATACAAATGAATACATTGGAATATTATTTTGGAATATTTTGCAGGCAAGCGAGTGTTTAGTTTGAACAAAGAACAAAGCTGATGAGGTATCACATCAAATAATGTTCTGATATTGTTTTCAATGTAATACAGGACACAGATGATTTACACATAACTATTTTCAATTTTGATTTTACACACCATTCCTGATTTGGGATTGTAAACTACAGATGTCTAGTTATGACAAACTGTACAAAATGCAGCCTCCATTACAAAGCTAGCGTTAACTGACTAATGAGTAAATTTGGCCAACCAGTAGAATGCTCTGGTTGCTGCTAATAAAGTACTAATGTGAATTGCTTCTAAATTTAAATTATATTAATTAATATGAAGATAAAATCATGGGTTGCTAATGTTACCAAAACAAACATGTTAGCTTTACATGGTAATGTAACTGAGCTCAGTTAGCTGCCACAGGAACTTGTCAATTAGCACCCCCTTTGTCACTCTGCGTTGTGTTTGATGTGGGTAAATGATGGTTGGGAGGCCTGTTGTTGTTGCAGATCAGCATTTATTGTCTAGAACATAAAATGTGTACTAGTCATTTGTACCGTTGGCTCGTCATGGGTAGATCAAACATAGCACACTACAAGAGAAGAGCAAGTGATGTTAGCACAGCAGCTCACTAGCTTAGCAGGTATGCCCTTCCTTGTTATGACTTATTTTAACATTTGACAATACATCATACCCACTCGTTACACTTCTCAGCAACATTTCTATATGTCACAGTGCATATATACTCTTACAGGAAACATACAGAGAATAATACACGCCCTGCAATCTGTACACTACGCTGCACTTACAGCCTATGTCCTTCATGATCTGGCAGTGCTTCCCAGCTGCCATTAACAGAGGGCGCCCTTGAATCAACATACAGTCCATGCAGCTATAGCAACTGATGGCAGTAATTGCAACAGGAATCACACACTATGCAAACTCTCTTACACAAACACAACCAGAAGGAAAAGCACCTTATCTGATTCTAACCAGAGCTGGCTGCTTTTAACACTCTCCATCTCAAAAAGTCAAACTGATGTTAACTCTGGTTTTGTTATTTGTGTATTTTGTATGTCAATGTCACAGGAGAGCTGACCAGCTGATGGATGAGGATAATGATGATGCTATCCCATATTGCATTGCCATAGGAGACATAAAAAAAGTCGTAACTTTCTTCACTGGCAGAGGACAATTGCTTGAAGCCTTACTAATAGCACAGGTACTCAAAGGAAGGGGACAGAGACACTGATGGGGTGATGAGCTGACAGTAATAGTAACAGTAGTTCTATATAGGGGTGGAGGAGTAACAGGGAGAAAAAGACAGAGAGGTTAGGAAATGCAGTGAAGTTGTGATAATATTGATTAGAAATGACATAAATAATGTTTCTTATTTCCAGGGAGCATGTGAAGGGAACATCCGCGCACCTCAAAGCTCCCCAGTCAATCACACAACTAACGATGTGGATAACAGACAACAATACCAGGGGTAAAGCTGAAATTCACTCATGCTAATTTTCTGTTATTAATTTACATTTGTTGGCAAATTGAACCATATTTGAAACTGGCAGAATATTGATGAAAAGGCTGATGACCCAGACATCACTATGGCAACCTTTGAATAGGCCTAGAGCTTAATATTTGGGAGCATAATGAAGCATATTGCTTAACTTCCACTCAACACTGGCATATGGTATTAGTGTGTCCTGCACTGATGTAACCTAGTAGCTGGGCAACACTAAAAAATTAAAATACTATATGCACAGTATACTCTGAGGGAAAGCAACGCTTGAACCTTCCAGTTGTACTTCCGGTGGAATCCAGATGTTTCTGCAGTGGAAAATGTATCAAAAGCCTTTTAAACATCTCCTGCAGCGTAATCCGCCTCCTTTGTACAGCTGAATGCTTAAAACACTGTTTGTCAAAATAAGGCTACATACACAGTTTTCCTCCCAATACTTTTTGTATGTGGCTCACACTCAATATTAATAACCCAATAGTGTGATTATCGAGTGTGCTCCCTTGTGTGCAATTGGAAAGAAAAAAATATCCTATGGAGAAATTGATCAACCATTCACAGCATCTAAAAAGAACCTCATACCTAGGGACAGGGTTACCCGCTTCTCTTCACTTGCTCATTTCTCAGTTTTGTAGAAAACAAAATAAATTCAGCATCCTTGCAAATAAATTTTAGGTAAATTTTTTAACTGTCTCAAATGAATCCCAAAATATTAGTGAGCTTTGACCATAATGTCCGCCTTTATTTCTTCTTTCTCTGTCCAGTCTCCTCCATAAGGTATGTAAGGAGTTGGCTGAGTGGTACTTCCAGGATGGGTGTGCTGTCCTGGCAGCCTGCTGTCACCTAGCTGTTGACAACATCAAGGTACACAAGAGTCTGTGCATGGCACTATTAGCATTTATTTGCATGCATCCTTCACTGTTAATAAAATTATTTTAAAATGTGGCTGGAATGTGTGTGTATGTGTATTTTTTAGTTAGCCATGTCAAGTCTGATCCGAGGTAATGAGTTGGAGTTGGCTGCATGCGTGGGTATTGTCCTAGGAGAGGTAGCCAATCAAAGCACTGCCTACTGCCTTGAACTTCTGGCCAGGAAGTACATGACCACAGCCACAAGGTATGTCTCTATCCATGCATGTCCAGATAGTGTATGATCCGTTATCTATTCCGCTTATCCTGAAGAAGGTCGTAGGGGTGTTGCCAGTCTATCACAGGGCTGACACTTAGAGATCGACAACTAGTGTATTATTATTATTATTGTTGCTGTTGTTGTTGTGATTTGATCCCCATCTTTTCATGTTGCTGTCACCAATAACCATCTTTGTCTGCACACTTAAGTGAGATTGCCATTATTTGGTTTGGTGTTAAGCCAGCTATGACAGTGGGTTAACAGCTGATTTTGTCTTTACATCATGAGGCATGGCTCTAATTTGGAAAGTTATGCACTGAAACCCTAGTTCTCTGAGCACAAGCGGAGCCCAGTGACCACCAAACCTCTGTTGAATAGAAGTCTTACTTTCACATATGTAGTGTAATATTAGGCCAGTCAGGACAAACTCCACCCCTTTTTTCAGCTGTGACTGTTAAAAATCTGTCAAAACTCACCTCTACATCCATCAGTCTCAGTGACTCCGAATCAGCAGAGCTCCCCATGTGCTTGTTTCACACAGATGTGGCTACTTGAAAGGTGCAGCCTGTACAGTATAGATCATTTCTCTCTCCTGTGTTTACATTTAGGGAGCTCTTAGCTGACCTAATCCGAATGATTCCTGACAACTACATTTTATTGGCTAAGTTGTGTGCATTTTACCCAGGAAGTGCTGCTGAAATCAACCACTTACATGAAAGAGTGAGTAAATTTTTGAGACCCCACATTTGATATTAACAATATTAACAGTGGTGATGATTACAGTGACTATATGTTGTTTGTCATTCAAGTGCGGTCTCCCTTCATTAGAAGAGTGTAAGCCCTTGGCAGAGGCAGCCGTGTCTGAAGGAGATTTGTTTTCAGCAGTTAAATTCCATCTGTTGAGCTCCGAACCCGAGAATGCACTTCAGATAGGCCTAGATCATGTTAAAGGTATTGACAACTCCGAGTCTGCATGTGCCTGTGTGAGGTTAGCTACTTAACATATCTTCACAGTGTAAATACGATGACACAGCTCCATTCAAATTACCTTTAATGTGAAACAGTAGCCAATATTTAAATGTTTGCATCTGAAGCTATAGCCAAAACACTCAAACCAGACATGACCATGAGGGCTGGACCTGATGACATTCATTAGCACTCCGTCCAGTTCTTTAACCCCAATAAACAAATTCCCATGTCATTAATTGGTCTGATTAAAATAAATGTCTTTTTCCATAATTGTTATTATAAACATTATATTACTATTATACTGTGTCCATACACACTATAGATGGTTCACCCAGTGCAGTGAGTCAAATCTCAAATTATCTCTTTATGAATCAACAATTCATCAGAAACTTTCTTTAATTTCCTCCTCATCAGAACAGCTGGTTAAACCTGAATGGACGGTGGACAGTGTTCAGCCAATCCTGGATCTGATGAGTTACATCAGAACTGATCGACTCATCATGGCCAAGTTGACTGAGTAAGGCCATTTATTACTGTAGTATTAGTATAAATATTTATTTTAATTATTTGTCATTAAGCTTTTACTTTCCAAACATTGTCAGAGTGGATCATCATTCAGGCCTTTGTGTGTGTGTGTGTGTGTGTGTGTGTGTGTGTGTGTAGAGTTCGCAGTGAGCTCTTGATCCTGTGTGGTTATATTGGAGGTTTGCTCGCCATTCGAAGACAATACTCCAGCATTGTACCTGCACTCTACGAATACACGAGGTAGTCACACAGCTGTGTTTGTGGATGTATCAACAACTCTTTATTGAACATGGATGCATTAAACTCTAAACTCTGATCATTTATGTGGTGTTTTGCTTGTGATAAAATGCCTGACTAAAAATAGTGCCAACCTCTGCATAACATTCTCTGTCTGATTTGTCTTTAGCTTTAACACATGATGTTTTAGAAACACTGGCTGTAGCTTGTAGATTGCTCTAGTCACATTATTCTAAGGGAACAGGACTAATCGCATCACTTGTGTTTCTGAAATGAATCATTGTGACTACTTTTAACACCACTAAGTGATTATGAACATTAGGAACTTTAACTGTGCAGTCATCACCTACAATATAAATATTTATCATCTCACTGCATCAATACACTTAGTTTAAAACTTTTTTACCACTTGTCATGATACTACCAACTGTTACTCTCTTTGATACAGTGTTAATGCTTTAATAATGAGTCCTGGAGCTCTGTATTGTCCTCATGAGCTAAGTCACCATCTGATGCATCATACTTGGATATCTACCATAGTCTGGTTGACAATGGGTTAATGATTTGTGTGCAGGTCTGACTACCATGTTTTATCTGTCTGTTTCTTAGTCAGTTGCTGAAGCGGAGGGAGGTGTCTGTTCCTCTAAAGATTGAGCAGTTGTCTGTGGAGCTGGATGCCTGGCGGGTCTGCACACAGATTAACAGCAAGTAGGTTACACACACATACAGACAATTTAATGTTATTAAAGTGCCCATGACCTGCTCATTTTGCTCGCTTCCAGCCATTTAGTGCTTAATCTTGAGTACCTCTAGATTAGCTTTGAACCCCTCATAACTCCGAATAGTCTGTAATTTTTTCAGAATATTAAAACCAAAAAGCCTAAGAGATAGTTCATGAACACACACACCTCCTGTGGCTGGTGTTGTGTTGCAAGTGGACAGCACAACGAACCCCAACAGCATTAATTAATTTGAATTTTTCCTCCACAGATAGGTAAACAATGGTATATGTACCAATGAAAAGAGGTGTGTAACACTAAACAAAGCAGATAGTTGAGAAACCCTATATTATAACAGGCATAATGTAGACATAGTAACTTCTCCAACATGACAACAATTCTCTCTAACGTTACAGAAACAACACATTAACAGACATGCAACGTGTGTTTTTTTTAAAACTTACTGTTAAGTCCCACCGAGCAGTGGAAACAGGACTCCTTTTCAAGTAGCTTCAAGGTCGGTAAATACAACCAGTGGTCGTTCAGTCTTCTCCCACATTACCATATACAGTACCAAAGCAGTGAAATTAATTCCAACAGGTAGCATAGGTAAAATAGTAAAATACAAAAAATTACGCTTTTGCAATGGCAATGGTGGATGTTTTTTTTTTTTATTAAGCTGTATTGAAAATACACAACAACTAAGGCAATATAACATTGTGCCAATATGGTGGGGGCACCGGTGGATGTCAGGCAAGCTCACATGAACATGCATCAGCCTGGAGATTATACCCATTCAAGAGTATCCTTAAATTATCACGTAATACTTACTCACAAAACAGAAGGAGGTCATCACATTGATGATTCTGTAATATATAATCATGCCTAGTCTCAGCTGCACAGTAGCACTTAAAACTAAGGCCACTATGAAGTCAGTTACCAAGGCAACACAGGAGAGGAAAGACTTATAAAGTGGGCTACACGCTTCTTGTGGCAGGCTCCATGAAGCGCCAGTATTACTTGATTGCAGCCCATCTGCGGCTGTGCATGCCTCTATAAACTGCTTCTTGTTCATGACTGACTCGTTGGTCTGTTGGAATCCTGACCCAGTCACCCCCTTTTCCAGTAGTAAAATAGTAGTAGAGACACTGTTTAAAGTTTTAACACAGATCCATCATGTTCAGCATCTAATTTCTCTTTTGACAGCAGCCTTCCCGTGCCCTTATTCAGGTCATCATAACCTCACAGTTAATCTATGAGTACTGTAAAAGCTGAGTCCACGTCGAGGCCTGTGAAGCCCTGCAGTATTCTATGTTGCTGATGCGTATATACACAGCAACAAACGTGTCTCTGTCTGTTTTCAACAGCCCTCCTTCAGAATGTCAAAGGCAAGAGTTCAAGTGCCTTGAGAAGAGGATCCAGCCAACAGACTCAAGTAAACAGAACATGTATATCCTCAGTTATGTCCAGGGGAGCCTAGTTATAAAAACATGATCCTGTTAAAAATAATGCTCATTAAACATATCTAAGACTTTGATGGAGATTTCATGAAAGATCTGGTCTGAGGCTGGCGTCAGCATTAGGAGCCTCAGGTAGAGTGAATTTTATCAGTATCGTGAACGCTGATTGGTACTTGGTTATTGTGTGTGTACAAGTTTCTGACTGGATGGCGTGTGGCTCAGAAGGCAAAATGACATAAGGGACAGAGGATATAGAAGTATTATCTTGCTAGGCTCTGTAAATAGTAATAATGGACTGTTATGAAGTGTGTTTGAGAAATATTCAGTGAAAGCTGTTGAGAGTGAATACATATTATGTGTAATCATTAACCATTAAAGTAGGCTTTCTCTCTCTCTGTCAGCTGCATTGGGTCTGCATGGAGCTGACTATGTGACAGGCTCCAATCTGCCAAGCCACTCAGATGTTCAGCTGTCCTGTTTCACTGGACACAAAATACAGGTTTGTGTGTCTGTATTATAGATACATGTATGTGAGTCTTGACAATTTGTGACGCTGCTCAAGGTTTTCTTCTTTTTATTTAATGTACAGGGTCCAGTGTTTATGCTGGAAGATGGCAAATCAGCAATCTCCCTTAATGATGCTCTAATGTGGGCCAAAGTCAACCCCTTCTCCCCACTGGGAACAGGACTACGCATCAACCCCTTCTAACACATTCACACACACATTTGTTTTCATTTTTTGTGGGGACTTTAAATTGATTACATTAATTTCCTGCAGACTTGTGCTAACTTTAATCATAACCACTACTTGCCTAACACTGACTATTTCTCATCTAACACTGAACCAACTTTTAAAAAAACTAATAATAAATACAATCATTTACATGGTACGGACATCTGGTCCCCATGACAGCCACAAGTCCTCATAATGTTAGTGTGTAAACCGGTTGTGGCACAGTGTGATTAATGCCAGACGCACACACGCACACAAAAAAGACATTCCAAGAAAAGGGTTTACAGATTGGAAGGAAAAAAGAATACAAAGCCAGAGGGTGGAGTGTAGTAATGGAAAGAAAAATAACATTGCGGAGTTTCAGCTAAGTGGCCAAGTGTGTTTCATAAATTACTGAGCCAGTGACATTACCAGACAATATATCTGTGATTCTGGGAGGGTGATTCACTTCCCTACAACCTCATGGCTTTGGTAGATTTTGGGTCTGGTTAGCTTAGCTCTTGTGATGAAAACATAGCCATTAATGCTTCGTTTGTGAGGGGGGATTCATATTAAATGACATATGCAGGTCACTTGGTTTGACTGGCTCTTTTCTTCAGCTGACGGTTTCTCAGATGAATGAGCATGTATATACAGGGTATAAATCTGAATGACTTTCTTTTGTTGTTAAAATAAATATCGGAATAAAGCAACCACTGCATATTTATATTTATATATATTGTGTTTATGTTGATACAAAAATAAGCTGCAGATGCAGTGCCTCTTACTTGTGCTCCTGGTACAAATGCAGCAGCTTCTGCCTGAAGGCGACCGCCAACAGGTGGCTGAGACTAAGGAGGTAGAACGGGTCGTCTCCTAACTGGAGGATTAGCGGTTTGATTCCTGGCTTGTCCAGTCAACATGCTGAAGTGTCCTTGAGCAAGACACTGAACCCCCAGTTGCTCCCGGTGATATCACCTGTGTGTGAATGTATGAGTGCTCGGGAGGGTGTTGTGGATATTGTGCTAAGCACTTTGGTCAGCTTCGGCTGTGTTAAATGTGCTATATAAATAAAGTTGATGATGATGATGATGATGAGTGTGAATGGGTGAATGGGCAAATAGTGTAAAAGCGCTTTGAGTGTGCTGTAATGCATAGAAAAGCACTTTACAAGTATAACCACTCAAAAAAAGTTTGAATTCGTACCTGTAATGAAAAAGAATGAACAGTGTCTCTTGCTTGTAGAATGGAAATCAATTCATTCATTAATGCAGAAAATGAAGTACAATTGGTATGGGAGTAAACTACCGGAGCTAATATGTTTAATTGTCATTTGTATGAAAACTACTCGCAGACACTGGTATTCATTGCTTCATATGCAGATCAAATCAAACAACCCTTAATTAACTTAATTAGCACCAGTTGTAAAAGGTGAAAAGAACAACTGGACAATTTTGTTAAATGTGTCATGTCACTTTATCAGCATGAGTTAGATGAGAAGCCTGAGATGTCACAACCCTGATATTAGGCCCACTGCTGAATGATAATCATGCATCGGTAACGTATGTGTGTACTGTTAGCACAGTGTGTATTAGCAATTATCAGAGGTACAGCTGTGGCTGATGAGATGTCAGGCATTAGTTTCATCGGTATCCTGCTATGAAAACTGTGACCAGTGAGTGGTGCTACAGAAAAAGTCTGGGCCTCACCAAATGTATTAGACTAGGATTCAGCTATGGAATGCTGAGCTATTTCATCAGGAGCCAAAGTGTTGGGCCTAATTTGACTGACCACACCAGTATTGTTGCCTTCATTGTGTCTTAGGTTAAATTCAGCTTTTGCTTTTATTTATTTAGAATTGAAATCAAAACCTTCAAAACATGTCTATGGTAATCAGGATTTTTTTTTATTTCTGGCATTTTCATTCAAAGACATATAGGCTCCACAGCAGACGTTCAAATCAGTCATATTCCAGCCACTGTTTGTGTTCAGCATGCAGGTCTGCCATATTAAGGCCTGTTTATTTTCAATCCCTGTAGGATGCTTTGTTGCTGTCTTGTAACATTTAGTGCCTGTATAGAGCGTGGCAGACTAAATTTAGTTCCATTTCTGAATACTATATTGTTTTAGTCATGCTCATGAACTTGCTACAGTTCTCTCACACTGGCTTTTAACAGTGGGTAGTTATAAACAAAGTTTCAGAATGTGTTGTGCAGCTGCAATATTTTATTTACAGACAAATCTACAGTACATAAAACAGCTGCATGGAGCAAGGAGACTTCAGTGGTGGGGATCAGATCGACGTGCTAACGGATACTGTATCACAGCTCACAGACAAACACAAAACAGACATCACATTTGACACAGGGCTCTAGAAAGAAATCTGAATCAATCGACTTCCTACATGCTTTTGTTTTGCTCTCATTTGTCTTGGCAATTTTGAATTTAAAGTATTTTAATATACACAATATTGTTTAATACAGCTTTAAAGTATTAGAATAGCAGAAGTTGAAGAATAAGAGCTAGCCTGTGAAACGCTTTCAGTCCCGTGGGCCTGTAGCCTACAGTTACTGCTTGGCACTGGCAGAATAATTGTGATTCCTCACTGAGTGTGTGTTGCTGCTCTTCTCTGTTATTCCTCCCTCATACTGTTTAACTGAGGGCAACTGTTGGGAGTGTAATATTTGTGTAGAGTTCAGGTTCAGGCACAGTGGTGTGTTTACCACTGCACTGAACCAAACAGGAAGAACACCGTAGTGTTTGTATATGTGTGTATTTGAGCCAGTTAACACTCTTCTGATTGAGGTCTCTACTTGACATTTTTTTAGACAAATAATGCTGCTCTTCTTGGTATCGTTGGTACAGTAGTGTTTGATATACAGTCGTGGCCAAACATATTGGCACTCCTGCATTTCTGTCAGATAAGACACTGCTTCTCCCAGATAATTGTTGCAATCACAAGCCTGCCCTCCATGGAGGACCTGTACACCTCACGGGTCAAAAGGAGGACAGAGAGGATCACTGCAGACCCCTCACACCCTGGACACAACCTGTTTGGACTCCTCCCCTCTGGACGGCATTACAGGTCACTGTGCACTAAGACAACCAGGCACAGGGACAGTTTCTTGGCCCGAGCTGTCACTGTGATTAATAGTTAACCTGCGGCAGTATGACTGGACAATAACCCTCAGTGCAATACCAGTAAATATACCTTTTACAGATTATACAGATCCGTACAAGTCTCTATTTTTAAGTACTTTATTTTTATCTCGCTTCCTAATGAACATTCCTTTGCCTGTTTGAATTGTTTATTGCTTGTTTATACTGTTTATTTTTGTTATATTACACAGCCTTATGTTGGTATATTGTTTACTTGCCCCTTGCATGGGGATATGTACGTGCACATTTAGAGCTGATGTACCAGAGTCAAATTCCTTGTGTGTCCGACACACCTGGCCAATAAAGTAGATGCTGATTCTGTCTTTAGCATCCTCGTGTTTAATTATTTAGTTATTATTACAGAATAAATGGTATAGATAATGGGCGGATGGACAGGCTACAGTAGTTTTTGTCTGGCAGACGGAAGTAGAAAAATTCAACAAAACAATAACTATGGCTTTCTGGACAGGATAAATCAACTTTACAGGAGAAGGACCTTGCTGAGGACAAAGATCACAGATTATCAATCTTTGCTGGAAGTTGGACTAGGTTAGAGTTTAGGTTTGGGTTAACTCTGACCCTAACGCCAGACCTCAATGGATCATTGAATAGGCCTACTGGGGACAGTCCCAGGGGTTGTACATTAACTCTGTGTAAGCAGTTCCTTCTGTGCTCCTGATTGGCCTCCCCAACAAGACCAATAGACAACGGAAGCTAATTTAAAATGCTGCTGCTAGAATACTGACAAACACCAAGAAGAGAGAACATGCTACTCCAGTCCTTTGTCTTTTAATGGTCTGGGCCCAAAATACATCAGAGCTACTGTACGTTTGCTAAGTACAATCCTGGTAGATGTCTCAGTTCTGCAGGGACTGGTCAGCTAGTGGTGCCCAGAGTTCAAACTAAACAGGGTGAAAATGCTTTTAGCCATTATGCTGCCCACAGCTGGAAGCTGTTTTAATAGTTTTAATCAAATTTGCATTCTATTGTTTTATCCATACAAGCATTTTCATGTTTTATCTATTTGTGCGCATTGTATTAACCACTTTGATTTTGCTTTTGCATATGAAAATGCAATATATAAATAAACTTGCCTTGGCAATGTCTTTTTTCTCTGAAAAGACATCATTGCTCTGAAACTGTTCAACGTTAAGGGTGCCTTCACAGAAGTGCAAGCTACCCACACCATGTGCACTAATGCTCCCCCATGTAATCACAGATGCTGTGCTGATAACAATTTCCTCTTTAGCCTGGAGGATGCAGGATGTCCGTGATTTCCAAAAAGAATTTCACTTTTTGACTCACCAGGCCACAGGACAATTTTTCATTTTACCTCAGTCTATCATGAATGAGCTCAAGCCCAGAGAAGGCGGAGCGTGTTTCTGGGTCTTGTTTATATAGGCTATAGTTTATAATATATCTGCTAGAGTTGTAATTTGTGTTTGTGGATGCAAGAATGAATTATATTCACTGATAGTGGTTTTCATGCATGTTCCTGAGGCCATGCAGCAATTTCCACTACTAGTGTGTCTGGTTTTAATGCAGTGTGGCCTCAGGGCCAAAAGACCACGGCCATTCAGTATTGGTTTCCTTGTCCCTTGTTTACAGAGACCTCTCTAAATTCTCTGAATCAGGTAATAATATTATGTACAGTAGTACATACTTTACATTTACAAACATTATCTTTGAATTTTTGAACTAGTTGCCACACAGAGTGGTGAACCTCACCACCAGTCAACCTTTGTCAGGTTAATTTGTGATTTGTGAGGTGTTTTTAGCACTGCACAACTTCTACAATTTTTTGTTGCTCCTGTCCCGACTTTTATGGAACATGTTGCTGGCCTCCAATTCAGAATAAGATTTTAGATGAACTAAAATATATAAATATATTATTTGAACATTAAATATCTTTGTACTGCTACCAAATGAATATGGGGTAAAAGGGGTTTTCAACATGTTTCTTTCAGTTTTTATTTACAATTTACAATGCGTCCCAACTTTTTTGGAACACATTTTTGGAAGTGTCTCCCTCGAGGCCATGTCTTCAGGAAACAGTCATCAGTCAAACTGCATGATAATCATCACTTCACAGTGAGATGGTTTTCCTCTAGCGCATCACAAGGCGACAATCTCCACTTGTACACAAGACCTTTTCATGACATTTTGACAGAAGACCGTAAAAGCATGTATGAACACATTCAAGTCCCATGATGTATGTGGCCTTTGCATTTTGAACAATCCATCAGCTTTTTACATTTTAGTTATCATTAGAGTTACGTTATGTATCCTTCACCTTCAGTACAATGCAGATGAACAAAATCAACCCTCCCTCCAGACTAAAACATTTTTCTTCTGGAGCTTTCTGCAAACAGCCTCCAGGTGTGTAAATCTTTAAGGCCAGTTTCCTTTCAGCTGTCAGACAACAGATACAGTGCCTTGCGAAAGTATTTGGCCCCCTTGAACTTTGCGACCTTTTGCCACATTTCAGGCTTCAAACATAAAAATATAAAACTGTCATTTTTTGTGAAGAATCAACAACAAGTGGGACACAATCATGAAGTGGAACGAAATTTATTGGATATTTCAAACGTTTTTAACAAATAAAAAACTGAAAAATTGGGCGTGCAAAATTATTCAGCCCCTTTACTTTCAGTGCAGCAAACTCTCTCCAGAAGTTCAGTGAGGATCTCTGAATGATCCAATGTTGACCTAAATAACTAATGATGATAAATAGAATCCACCTGTGTGGAATCAAGTCTCCATATAAATGCACCTGCACTGTGATAGTCTCAGAGGTCCGTTTAAAGCACAGAGAGCATCATGAAGAACAAGGAACACACCAGGCAGGTCCAAGATACTGTTGTGGAGAAGTTTAAAGCCGGATTTGGATACAAAAAGATTTCCCAAGCTTTAAACATCCCAAGGAGCACTGTGCAAGCAATAATATTGAAATGGAAGGAGTATCAGACCACTGCAAATCTACCAAGACCTGGCCGTCCCTCTAAACTTTCAGCTCATACAAGGAGAAAACTGATCAGAGATGCAGCCAAGAGGCCCATGATCACTCTGGATGAACTGCAGAGATCTACAGCTGAGGTCGGAGACTCTGTCCATAGGACAACAATCAGTCGTATACTGCACAAATCTGGCCTTTATGGAAGAGTGGCAAGAAGAAAGCCATTTCTTAAAGATATCCATAAAAAGTGTCATTTAAAGTTTGCCACAAGCCACCTGGGAGACACACCAAACATGTGGAAGAAGGTGCTCTGGTCAGATGAAACCAAAATCGAACTTTTTGGCAACAATGCAAAACGTTATGTTTGGCGTAAAAGCAACACAGCTCATCACCCTGAACACACCATCCCCACTGTCAAACATGGTGGTGGCAGCATCATGGTTTGGGCCTGCTTTTCTTCAGCAGGGACAGGGAAGATGGTTAAAATTGATGGGAAGATGGATGGAGCCAAATACAGGACCATTCTGGAAGGAAACCTGATGGAGTCTGCAAAAGACCTGAGACTGGGACGGAGATTTGTCTTCCAACAAGACAATGATCCAAAACATAAAGCAAAATCTACAATGGAATGGTTCACAAATAAACATATCCAGGTGTTAGAATGGCCAAGTCAAAGTCCAGACCTGAATGGGGCTGAATAATTTTGCACGGCCAATTTTTCAGTTTTTTATTTGTTAGAAAAGTTTGAAATATCCAATAAATTTCGTTCCACTTCATGATTGTGTCCCACTTGTTGTTGATTCTTCACAAAAAATTACAGTTTTATATCTTTATGTTTGAAGCCTGAAATGTGGCAAAAGGTCGCAAAGTTCAAGGGGGCCGAATACTTTCGCAAGGCACTGTATCTGTGGCTGCAAAGTTAACATGAATACTTATCTCCAACTTTTCTTGTGGTTAAATATCGATATAGCCAATCACACATGACAGAGATTGTCATGAACAGGTATTTATGTTGATTTTTATCAGATGATGACTGTGCCACTCCTAACTGGATGTTGGCTGTGATGCCGCTGTGTTGTATGCCAACTGAAAAGAGTGTGAAGAAGAAGACTTGTGTTGTTCAGATCATTTAGAGTCGGCACACCTATCTACATAAACAACCTGGGAATGCTAATGTGGATGCAAATGGCTTAGACTTGAAAACTGGGTTTTAAAATTTTAACAATAAGTTTCATATGAAATTTTTTCACTGGATGTTTGATTTATTTTTACACAAATCTATAAAACATATATAAAAATAGTTCTTATAATAATACAATTTAATGAAATAAAAAGCCGTATAATCAGTCATATCTGAAGATGACGATATTGCCCAGTATTTCCTGTAACACAGACAGAGAAACATCTTTAACTCTGGTTTGCCAAACGTTTTTTTGTTGGCTGTCACTGAAAACACTGGAGTTTCTAATTCTGCTTTGTATGATCATTATTATCATATTATTATTAAAAGAATTGTTAAATTAATAAAATCCAAACACAGTTCTGATGTTAGCTCCAACAGCAGCCAGATGTCCTGAACCAGTGTCTGGTGTGTTGCAGTCACACAGGTTAAAGTGCTGCGCTGTTTGTCCAGCAGCAGCAGCAGCAGCGTGGAGTCAGATATGTCACAGCTCAAGCAGACATGGGTTCATAGGAGTGGAAGTGGATTCCTTTGGAGCATGTGATCTTCATCACTGCTCCATTCAGACTGGTGTCCATGATCAACCTCATCATGCCCTCCGCTATTAATGACGGCCTGGGAATAAACACAGAGGAAAAGAGTCATTAGATGGGACTATGGGAGACCCCCCCCCCACACACACACACACACTCATGCACACACACATTCTTGTTTTGTCACTTAATGGGTCCTTACATAGACTTACATTTGTTTCCTGGAGACCCATTCTAACCTTAAGCCAAGTTGCCACTCAAAAATTCTGTGATTTCCCACAGGGAAGGCTGAATCCCCAGTGTTTAAACAAGCTTTGGTGCACACACATAGACACACACAATAATTTCAGGAATTTCTATTCTATTTCTTCTGCAAACTCCGATTCTTAAAGTACAACAGATGAAGCAATGTACACCCTGTGTGTGTGTGTGTGTGTGTGTGTGTGTGTGTGTGAGTGAGAGAGAGAGAGAGAGAGAGAGAGAGAGAGGTCAGGAAGTCATCTGGCCTCAATTTCCTGTAACACTAAAAGCCCCCACTGCTGTCTGTGAGCTGCACATTGCAAACCTTTTAAAGAAGGCCTCTCCAGAACCACAGATAAACAGTGTGGGCTTACCCCAGTGCAAAAGTTACCAGTTCTGATCGATATTCATTAATAACTGTAAAGCGTCCTCATAGTAAAGTGATGGAGAGCTTTAGCACATATGTTCTGTCTTCTGTTTTTTCTACAAACTTTGGTTCAGTCCCACTCAGAACTGCTCCAAATAAACACTTGTCAGGTTTCCTGAAAGATAAAGTATCACTGACAGCCAAGTCAGCTCTGCAGCCCTTCTGTGAAACAAGAACGTAATCAGAACAGAAACAGAAAAAACCTGTGGAAGAAGCAGAGTGCTAAAAGCTTTCAGGACCACATGTTTTTAACTGTAGTTGTTTGCCTCAGTAATTACAGTGACATGGCAGTAACTGGTCAGCGAAGCCCGAGGTGCTCATGTGCTTTTGCAAGAGGACATTATTTTTTGTTTGTGAACTGATTGTTTTTCCATTCATCAAGTTAATAATTACTGTAACTTGTTTACACATAACACAGTACACACTTTGTCATCAGTGTACACTACAGTGAAAAATAAGCTCACCTCTGTTCAGCTCCATGCACAGCTTCCCTTCCCACCCAACAACATAAAATACAAATATAACAGGAGATAACACAACACTTGGACCTCACTACATATGGTTCATATGCTGTTTTGACAGTAATAGTGCAGCTGATTTACTCTGTGCCTTTATGTTTCAAGTCAAATTAAAACATACACAGATATTTCAACTTTTTCTCTGTAATTACAAAGGAACAGTACGTTCTGAGTAAGGGTGAGTTCAAGGTAAGATCCTCTGTGAGCTGTAATTTAAAGAGGTGATGTTACCCCTTTGAACAAACAAGCATGCATTGTTACATAGTATACAGCTAATGTACACAGTACTACAAAAATCTGATACATAAATTTGGTTTAATGTTGTTATGTTGTTGAACTTTGTAGCCTGTAATCTAAAGTGTTACCATTTGGTTTATGACCTAATAAAAACAAAACTAATGACATTTTCATCAGCCAAAGATATTCTTTGATGTTAATGAGCAAAACTTATAGTAGCACGCTAACATGCTAAACTGACTGATGCTAGACTGATTTGTGTCATTCAGCAAAACTGAGCTTAATTATTTTTACTTAACCCTTTACCTAACCCTAACCCTAATTTATTTCTATTTATTACTCTGTCTACTACTTATTTATTTAGCTTCTTTGTTGCCCTTGAGGAAAATGTGCTAATCAATATAATTCATGTTTTGTCAGTAAGCTCCACATAGAGGCTCCATTTGCAAACCTGGTGTCCAATAACTAATGCTTAACCAATAAATACTGTGGATTTGGAGGGTTGTTAATAATTTATATCCTACTATTAATTCAGCCCTCTCTTGTTGCAATATTAATCTAAGTGTGAAGCTAGTTTCACTGATCTAATTAACACATTTACATCTGAAATGATCTCACAGGGAGGAGCTACAGTATGTTCGTGCTAGTGTGCGTGAACTCACGGTAAAACTCCAAACTTGTCCATGCGGAGTTTGAAATCATCCTTGAACTTGACAAACTTGCCCATATTGTCCTCCTGTTCCACTGAGTGCAGCAGAGGGGTGTCAACGAAGGCCGGACACAAGACGTTGATCCGAACCCCGTAGTCACCCTGAGAGGACGCGTCCTGCAAGAACATGTAGAATGAACTGCTATACTCTGAGTATCCAGAAGAGCCTGGAATTCAGAAAGATACTAAAGTAAACCTTTTATAGTGTCTCTTTGACTGTGTGTGCAAGTGTGAGTCTTACTGCCATAGCTCTAGTGAAGCCAATAACTCCATGTTTAGTAGCAGTGTAGACAGGCTGATGAGGGGAATGCATGAAGGCTGTAATATAAAAAAACAAGAGGCCAGGAGAGAAGAAAGAACACTTAATGAGCAGAATTCAGCTTGGTGTCATATAATCTTCACTACAGCTTCTCTACACTTGCTGTTTGTTTCAGGCTATGTAAACAGAGTAACATGGTATGTAGTTAACAAGGCATATAGATCAGTAATACAAAATACAGCTGCATCGGCTTCTGAATGGCAGCTTTACTTTGTCACCACTGGCTGGTCAGTTAATCCAGGTTTTATGAAATAAGGCTCAGCTCATATTTCTTACATCTGCTGCAGAATGTCTCAGTCTACAATTTTTACTTTCTCACATTAAGGAGAAATTGCCCCTAAAATGTTTTTTTTTTGAGTTATGCACAATGTTTTAGAATAGCTATTTTATACTAAAATGCTATTTTTTATTTTTAGTTATCTATTTTTAAATGTGCCTTATTTAAACAATATACTTATAACATGTTACATGGCAAGTCTCAACAAGGCAAAGACAAGCTTCTTCTTTACATACATTGCACGCTATTTCTGTCACTCCACTCCTACCAGCTTATTAATACAGCTCCTCAGTATTTGTTCATTTTGATGTTTGAGAAGCTCATCAGCTGCATTTTGCTTACTGTTATGCCTGAATAAGGCTGAAATTAGCAGCAGGAGGGTGGTGGCCAGCGCCCTCTAGGTGACAATGGCCAGTCTGGTTTCTGAGGTAAGTTTTAAGCGTTTTGTTAAATTCATCTCAATCATCCAAAAAAAAAAAATTGTTGAGTTTATGGGTCAATTTCCTTTATGAATGTTGCCAGGAAAGACTGTGAAATGAGAGAGTTTTTTACACTTTACGTGCGTTTCAAAGCTTGACGCAAACATATGCAGCTGAAAGATGTGGCAATATTCAAAGAAAAAACTAAGTGGCAGACACAGTGGAGGACAGACAGAGTGGTTTCAAGCAGCTTCCTAATGTTACCAACTGCAACCACAACTTGCACCCATAGCTGGTGTACAGCTTGCAGTTCAGATCATTTCCATATATGAGCATTTGGCAGCTGACTGTAAACTCAGTCAGTCTCATATGGGTTGAACCCACATCCAGCCTGATAATTGACATCAGTCAAAAAGCATACACAGAAATCAGACACACACACACACACACACACACACACACACACACACACACATACACACACACACACACACACTTCTTTTCCCCACAATAATATGCTTGCAGTATGCTTGACCATGCTTGGACAAGTCTGTGTTTATTATGGGACTGACAAGTAGGCGCACACACATGCACACTGATGTTATCACCATTGAGATAAGTGATAAATGATTATCATATGTCTACTGCTGGGTGCTCAACTGTTCTAGGCCTACAAGAATGAAAAATATCCTCTGGAATGTTATTCAGTGATCCACAGCTCTAAAATAAGCATATACAAATGTAAATGTACTGTGACCAAGATCATCTGTAGTGCATGACTAACTGAAAGTGTCACCACATTCCACACTGACAGGCAGTGTGAGTCTGCTGCCTGTAGAGTCCACACCTGCTCAGCACCAAACGACAGACCACAGACAAAGGTAGCAACTACTGTAGCTGGTGAACATTGTGAAACATTTAGCAGCTAGTGAACCAAGTATGTTCTGAGGAGTTTTTGACCTAAGACTAAAAGTAAGAGGAGAAAGTATATGTGAGTACAAAGCAGTTGGTCAGAACCATGAAACCAACAAAGTCTTACATATTAATCATTTGGATGTTACTAAAAAAATGCTCACTAGTCAGAAGACTGTGACCAGAATTCCTGCTAATATTACTTTTGATTATTGTCTGAATATTTTAAACAACTTTTGAAAGTTTCACTTTTTTCCATCTTTACACTATGGAATATTGCAAATCTTCAGAAGTCTAACATAAAGTCCTATTCAAGCAATATTATCTCAGTGTCATAGGCTCATCTGAAACACAACCTGATGATTCACAAAGTGTCACAGCAGCTTGATGAGGCTTGTGTTTAGTCCAACTAAACAGGAGCAAACTACCAGCACACCTCCAGCTGTCTACTCATCTGGTGTGTGTGGTTGATTGACTAAATATAAAACTGCCAGGGTAGAAATCTAGGGACATTTCCAGTATTCCCACTAAAGGTTCATGTAATTATAGTATACTGTATAGCTCATTAAGGTGTTTGCAATGAAATAAAATGTGCTGTGATTTTAAAAGTACTGGTAATTTCTCAATGATGGTATGTATGTACTGTATGTATAATGCAGGTTGGTCATTAAAGAGTTTATGGTTGGGTTTAGAAAATGATTAGAGCTTTTCCAGACCTAGCTTTAAGAGTATTAGCCTGTAAAAACAATACAGAACCACAAAAGAGCAGGAATTACCTGGGAAATCATGTACTGTATATGTGTGTTTGTGAGTGAGGGTGTAGGAATGTACACAGCACAATACAGAGTGTGAGCTTTTCCATGAGAGAGACAGATCCAGTAGTTTCAGCTAACGTGGACGTCTGCCAGGCTGTCATGGTTGTGTTTTATTTCAGGTCTTTCCCACATTACACACACTCAGAATGGGGGGTGGAGCCGGGCTCTCATCATAGTCTTGGCTTGACTTTGAAAAATTAATCATCCGTGACATTTGGCGAATCACAAATAAATCCCTGGGCGTTTGTGCCTTTCAGAATGGAGAACATTTGAGAAATAGAAAGTTTAACACACGTGTTTCCAACTAGAACCGACGTGTCATTTTATATATATACTTTTTATATTATAGATCCCAAAAATTCATGAACAGCAGAGATTAACAAAGCTAAATTTGTGCATGTGTGGATATTTTCCTCTGTCTCAACTAATGATTGAGATATTCTTTTCTTTGATACTATTTAAAAGGCTACAATGTAGCCGGGATTCAGAGCACCAACCCTTCAATTAGGAGGTGACCCAACCTACCTCCTGGGCCACAGTTGCCACAAGTGATGGTTTGTAGAAGTTGAATAAATCTGTGCATACATCTTTGTCAGTGTGTGTGCATATGTTACCTGCCATAGAGGATACATTGATAATGGTGCCTCCTTCCTTGCCATACTCTTTACTCATGTGTTCCAGTGCCAAGTAGGTCCCCTTTATTACAGAAGTCTATAAGATAAAGAGACAATAAGGTCACAGTGGAAGTCCTCACAACAGGCAAGTGCAGCACATAAGCAGGAAGTGAAACTCAAAGAAAAGAATGAAAATCAATCAATCAATCATAATCTTTATTGCCATGTATATTAAAATACAAGAAATTTGACTTCAGCTCAGTGGCCTCTAGTATGCACCAAATAAAATAGAATAAAAACAGAGTAAAAGACTGAGTAACAAGTAAAAAACAACAAGATAAAAACTATAATCTATTCATTAATATGTGTACATATATACAAGTTAAAATTAGAGCTATTTTGGTATGTATAATACTTATGTCTATAACTTATTGCACTGAGGTGTTTGCTGTATCTTGTTATACATATAAACATGAATTAACTGTTCATCAGAGTGACGGCCTGGGGGAAGAACCTGTCCTGGTGTTGTTTTGCCGTATGGTGACCTGAATCGCATAGGGGAGGAGTTCAAACAGTGTGTGTCCAGGGTGTGAGGGGTCTGCAGAAATCTTCTCCACCCTCTTTTTGACCCGTGAGGTCAGGTCCTCCACGGAGGACCAAACCAGACAGTGATGGAGGTGTAGAGAACAGACTCGATGATTTCTCTGTAGAACTGTATCAGCAGCTCCTGGGGCAGGTTGAACTTCCTGAGCTGGTGCAGGAAGTACATCCTCTGCTGTGCTTTCTTGGTGATGTTACTGTTGTTGGATGTCCACTTTAGGTCCTGGGAGATAGTGGAGCCCAGGAACTTGAAGGACTCTACTGCTGATACAGTGCTGCTGAGTATGGTGAGGGGTGGTAGGGTGGGGATGGTGGTTGGGGGCTTCTTTCTAAAATCCACTGTCATCTCCACTGGTGAGCATGTTCAGCTCCAGGTTGTTGTGACTCCCCCACAGGACCAACTGTTCAACCTCCCATCTGTAGGCTGACTCATCCCGTTTCAAATGAGACTGATGACTGTTGTGTCATCTGTGAACTTCTAGATCTTTACAGAGGAGTCCCTTGAGGTGCAGTCTCTGGTGTAGCGGGAAAACAGCAGCAGTGAGAGCACACATCCCTGGGGGGCACCTGTGCTGATTGTCTGGGCGCTGGATGTGGTTTTCCATAGCCTCACCTGCTGCTTCTTGTCCGTTGGAAAGCTAGTGATCCACTGACAGGTGGGGGCAGGCACAGTGAGCTGGGTTAGTTTGAAGTGGAGGATGTCCAGGATGATGGTGTTGAATGCTGAGCTGAAGTCCACAAAGAAGGCCCATGCATAGGTCCCTGGGGAGTTGAGGTGTTGCAGGATGTAATGCAGTGCCATGTTCCCTGCATCGTTCACTGACCTGTTAGCCTGGTAGGCAAACTGCAGGGGGTCCAGCAGGTGGTCTTTGATGCCTTTCAGGTGGGCCAACATCAGTGTTTCAAAGGACTTCATAACTACAGATGCTGATCAGCACAAGCTTTCAGACAGGAGGGGGTCACACCATCTGGGCTTGGTGCCTTTCTGATCTTTGTTTTTTTTTAAAAGGCCACACACATCCTTAGGTGATTGCTGGGTGAAGTGGCTACTGGGTCGGAGGTGAGGTGGGTGATGGGTGTGGAGTTCTACCTTTCAAACCTGTAGTAAAACACATTCAGGTCACCTGCCAGTTGATGCCTTTCCACAGTGGGGCTGGGGGTCCAGTAGCTAGTAGTTTTTCAGACTTCTCCACACTAATGAGGGGTTGTTGACTGAAAATCTGGTTTTTCAGCTATTCAAAGATGCAGCCTCAAATACACTCCAGTCTGTGCAGTCAAAGCAGGTCTGTAGCTCTGGCTTTGCTTCCTCAATTCATCTCTTCACTGTTTTGATCACAGTGTGTGAAACTACTAATAACTAAGGGTATTTATAGAATGTGGGCAATAGCCTCTGGTAGCTTCCCTCAAGGCAAATTGGTCTCAGTGGAGGGGCCAGACCAGGTGCGGATGACATTTGCCCTGCAATGCTGAAGGTTCTGGGCTGTGTTGTGCTGTCTTGGTTGACATATAAATTCTCTCCTGGCCTTGAAACAGTGGACCCTCTCTTTACTCTTGTGTATGGTGCAAGGTCACTATAAAAGTATCACCTGTGTTTTGTGGACTAGAAGAAAGCTTATAACATGTCCATCAGGGAGTCTTGTGGGAGTAAAGGATACCAGGGATGTTGATACTAGCCCTCTGGTCTGTATTCTCAGCAAGAATACAAACATGTTTCTGGTTGGTGTTTGCCCACATTAAGGTTGTCCCTTATCTTTAATCGTGTTTGTGATTGTCATGGACAGAATTTCAAGATACATCTGGGGGGAGGAGAGTGTCTGGTTTGAAAACTTCCAAATTGCTTTTCTCCTTTTTGCAGATGATTTGGTGACCTCCAGCATGCACAGGGGCATTGTGCAGCCAACTGTAAAGTAACTGGGGTGAAAGCCAGAACCTCCAATCTGAGGACATGATTGTCTGCTGGAAAACATAGAATTTCTCCACTCAGGCTGGAAGTGAATTGCTACCCCAAATGAAGGCGTTCCAGTATCTCAGGGTCTTGTTCACAAGTAAAATGGATCTTGATAGTGACCATTGGAAATATATCTTATCAGCAGTGATGCAGGCATTGTACTGGACTTTCAGTAAACTGCAGCTCTCAGTGCCCTGATCCCAGGGGTGACATGCTCGGCTTCCAACAACAGAATCAATGTATCAGTGATATCACTTTTCATTAATGACAAAAAATTCAATATTTTCTTCTATTGTTACTGGAGAATTGGTGGTCTTTTAAACATGTCTCTGTGTAGTGGGCAGACTTCTTAAAATAGACAGAAGAATTACACTTCTTGGAAAAAGTTACCCATGAAATGGAGTCAGAGGAGTATTGAATGGAGTCCTCCTGCTGTAGACTACCCTTCAACTCTGAAGTAGAAATTGGGCACATAAATTTTGCACACTATATCAATTGTTCTTACATGATGAAACCACAGTTGGCTTAATTATGAGTCTTATTAATGAGAAGTTAGTGAAGGGAAGAGGATCTTGAAAGATTCATCATGCTGCAGTGAAGATTGCTGGCTTGTGAAGTGGAGGAAGTACCTCTGTTTACACCTTTCCCAGGGCAACAATGGGGTTTGCATTTGCAAATCCTGGTCACATCTTATCATAATTTAAAAAGTGTACTTTGTCTTGTGCTGCATTACAAGTCACTTTTCATTAATTTTGAATTATGAAAGTATGCTAATGCAGCTGTGAGAGGATGGGATGTAATGTGATGGAGTGAGCCATTTCCATTCTAAAATGTGTTCTGAAAGTAAGATGGCTTCATTTTACCTGTTGGTAATATGGGCTTAAATCTAGTGGCTATGTGCTGTTGTTCATTTGATTTGTCTTTATCTCTGATGTAATGTCACTGCATTTCTCATTGAATTGTTGTTAATTGCTATAAGAAGAACAACCATCTGTACACCCAGACTCCAGATTCCAAAGACACAATAAGACAAGTACTGTATTTGACAGGCTGAGAAACTGTGTCAACTCCAGTGAGACTTTTTTTCCTTTTATGAGTGTACTTTTGGAAGCTGGACATGTTTATCCACATGTTTTAAGGAATTCTTTTCAACAGGGATGCAGTTGTAGGGGCTTCATATGGTGCCATGAATGGCTGTAGGGGAGGCCTGCTGATGTAACAGAGTAGTGTGAGGAGTCTGGACAGGGGTTGTAGCACTCTGAGTGGCCCGAACTGGGGTCCTTTAGGGACAAGGAGGCCTCCAGTTTCACAGTGGAAACATTAAACATTATCAGCAGAACAAGCTGTTGTTGACCCATGGCAGCAATGCTGGTAGAACCGGTTGTGAAGATTGTATCACCACTTTCAGCACGGCCACACATGCTGTAATGTATTTCAGTAGACTTCCAGGTTAGTACTGAGACCCATCAGCCTCCAGACAAAACATATGACATTTACCTGTGTGCACATCAATACTGGCTCCAGGTGCATCTTAAAAAAAAAATTTGTTCTTAATGGATCATTTTGTGTTTTCTAAGTGCTGTAGTTACCCAGTGCCATTTCTGCATGCATAAAAAGATTGAGTAAACGTCTTTCTGTAATATCACTAGCCATGAGTAATCTGTAGACCTGTTAGGTGACTTTCTGTTATTTGGACAGATGCATCCAGGTATAAAAACACTACAGTTTATCAATAAACAAAGTATTCTGCTGGATGTGAATTACACTGGGTTAATGCCATAAATTGTAATGATAATAATAATAATAATCTTTTATTTCCTGATAGTTCAATGATACAAATAAGTATGACCATAACTGTAGACATACTCATTTCAGTTCTGAACGGTTGATTGATACACTCAGCTGTCATGATCTTGACCTGGTCTCTGCATCAAGATACAGGCTTCCTTTTTTCATAGATAAACTAACTAGCATTAGTAGCACAACACTTCCCAACTCTGGCAAAGTTTCAAGTATTCACATTATAAGGATTTATAACATCACGGTCATGCTTTTTTCCACTTTTGAAAGTAGATGTGCTGCCTGGTCATTAATATGTGTGTGGTGACCTGTGATCCCATCTAGATTACAGTCCAGCTAAGTTCTTTAAAAAATGTTTTGACTGCCTGTTTGCTTTGTGCTTTCAACCATTCTTGGCATTCCTTGTTATCTGCACTCATCCGGAGCAAATCTCTAACCCCCTGTTTTTCACCACAGTTCACAAGTACCATGCACAAGCTATCTGCAAGTTTGATTTTTATTCTATGTGGATGACACCCAGTTCTGTACAACTGTTACAGAGTATGTACTGCCTTGAAAGTCCTTTCTCACCAGTGCACAAAGGAGATAAATTCTCCTCCAACTCAAATGTGCAAAACAGATGTCATCTCCAAGAGAATGAAGAAAATTGTGTTCACAATTATTTATACTATTTCAGCACATAGTGCTGCTGGCATAAAGCCGGCCCAATATCAATCACTGTGATCTCACTTTGCAATAGCATGTAAGGAATCTCAGTAAAACAGCATTTATCATTTAAAGAATATTACAAACCTTCTTTCTTAGAATGATACAGGGGAGGTTAGACACACAAAGACTTATGTAAATACAAAAAATAGTAAAAGTAACCGAAATAATAGCTATTTTATTTCCACATTTGGCAAGCACGCAGGCAGATACATGCTTGCTCAAGTAAACACTTTGTGAAGGGGACACGGTCTTCAGACCTGCTTAGTGAGACCCTTGACAGTCCTTTTTTACATATAAACAATGCCTGACCTGGGGGTGAAATAGAGGGTACTGTACAGATCAACATAAATAAAACTAGACTTGATTCACAGGCTTAATTTATCTCACTCCTGTCTTGTTATCTTACCAGGTTGACTTGTATGGTCTTCTCCCAGTTCTTTTCATTGTTGATGCCGGCATTGTTGATAACAATGTCCAGACGACCAAACTGGTCCACGGTGCTCTGGAAGGCATCTGAACCACAGACACAAAAAGCAGTGAATGACTTTGATGATGACACAGAAAATCACCAGGGCTATAATACACTGTTAACAAAGCGGTGGGTAGAGCAGTCATCTCCCAGCCAGAAGGTTGAAAGTTCGAATCTCGGTGCCTCCAGTCCATGTGTCGAAGTGTCCTTGGGCAAGATGCTGAACCCCCTCAGTGGCTGCCATCGGTTCCGTACCAGAAACAAATTCCTTGTGTGTAACATACTTGGCCAATAAAGGTGATTATCCTTATCCTTATCCAAAGACCTTATCATTGTGAAAGGAGTGAAACTGAGCTTGTACATGTTTAAACAGTGTGCCCACCATGGGGGCACACTGTTTAAACATGTACAAGGGTCATTAACTCAATGACAGTGTGCTCTAGTCCACTGAACCACTCCTTCTCCTTCATCCACAGCTCCTAGTCCAAACACAGAACCCTGACATGAGCTGCCAATGTTCAGACTGTATAAAGCCAAAATGAGCTTTTACAGTGAGCCTCCATCAGGTTCTTTAGCTTCCCATGTTGGAAGACATAGTTGGATAAACAGCTGAAGGGAGAAATCTGAGGTGGTACAACCTGCATGAGTCGTCACCTGCCAAAACCACACCTGTGACCATGCACTACTGTACGCCATGTGCATGTTCACAGAGATTTATCTCTACTCACCACCCACATACACTCAGTGTCACTGGCTCGGTGCATGCTCACATCAATAACAACACTATCTCACAGTAAGGAGCAACACCAAACAGCATTCCACAGCCATTAGCCTGCAGGGATTTACTTTTTCAGTGTCAGACAATGAAACCTTGTTTCTCTCTCTCACTCTCTCACTCACTCTAAGACACACTTATTGACTTACACTTTAAGTCTTGGCTGCTTCTTTCTCACCCAGCCACGCCCACACACACACATGCGCACACACACACACACACACACACACACACACACACACACAGGCAGAAAAGGGGAAGGTAAGTGAACAGTAGTCCTGTAGTATAGAGCAGTATATTGTATGCGTGGTGCAGTGCACAGGCACGTAAAAAGGTTAAATACAGTAAAATAAACGCTCATGTCAGAACAAACCAAAATTAATGTCTAGTCCTGTTTTGTTGTGACATGATTGCTTATTGCTTCACTGCTTATTTTACCTGGGCTGTGAGGGTAAGACACCTGAGTGACCAGAACCTGCTGTTTTCACAGATGTCACTGATCCTCTGTTGGCATATGTCTGACTGAACCTGCTGCTCCGTCATACCCTCTGACTGCAGCTGTCAACTCAGGGAACACTAACAGTGACACCCTCTAGGAAAAAGCCAAACATAGTCCCTTGGTTTTTGCCTTTTGAAATGACTTCCTCATTCATTGTTTTTAAATGAGTGGCAAAGAAGAGCCTTCTTGTAAATAATCTGCAGCCTGCGTAAGGAATCCTATACGTCACCATTATATTACACAACAGCCCTGGATAAGTGCCAGTAAACTGAGTCTGTTGATGAAAGCCTATCTATAAAGTTTTCATAATGTGTCACTCAAGCAAACCAGTGGCCTTACCTCTCAGTGCGTCTCCGTGTGACACATCACACTGAATAAAGGTGCAGTGCCCCTCTCCAAACTCTGTGTCCAGCTGCGTCTTGCACTCTTCACCACAGGTCTTGTTCAGGTCGACCACAGCCACCTGAAGGACAAAACTCTGCTAGTGAGTTGGCAACAGCGACACAGCACAAAGCTGGATGAAGTTCTTCTTTTTTTATCATCTTGCTGTGGTTTGACAAATGTGGCTGTGAACAGCACAGTCAGTACATTCAAATGGGGAACTAAAATACAAATGTAACATGTTCATCTTAGCACTATAATTAGCCTGGTTTCACAGGGTGTGAAGGAAGTTCTTAGAAACTAATTTACATTTATCAAAAGCCTGTTTCTTGCATTTGTCCTTGTCTAATCCCACTGGTATCAATTCAAAACATTATTAAAATGGATTGTATTCATACTGCTTTCTCCATATCACATCATGTCAGATCATCATAAAGCAGTAAAGATACAACACATTCCATGAAGCCAAATATGTTTTTACAGAGTTAAAACAGCCACATTGAAGCTGGTGTAAAGTTCATCCATTCAAGCTGAATTCATGAAGCTGCAGACTGTTCTGGTACACTGGAAGGTGCTAGTAAAGGTACAGCAGTGAGGTCAACATACTGCAGGTTGTGTTTGAGCAGTGAGGTAACAGTCGGAGCAGAGCATTTGGATCAGACAACATCAACACAAATCAAAAGCAGTAAAGTCAGAGCACCTCAGTTAATTTGACTATTTAATGACATCAGAGCAGCAGACACTGTGCTATGTATCAGTAAAGTTAAATCAGTAGTACTGACCTTGGCTGAGCTCAGCAGTAGTGACTGGACCACAGCTCTCCCGATGCCCTGAGCCCCCCCGGTCACCAGAGCCACCTTCCCATACAGAGACATGATACCAGCACAGCAGCAAAGCCCCTTACACTTCCTCCTTCTCTGGCTCACACGTAACCTTTCTCTCTCACTGTCTCACTTTCTCTGACTTTTCTTTTTGCTCTTCTTTTTCTGTCCTCTATTCTGTGTTTATGCACCTATCTGCCTCTCACCCTTGTGTGTGTTTTCACTCTTTTAGCTGGGCTGTCTTCCCTTCCTTCTTCCCTCCCTCTCTCTCTCTCTTGCTCTCTCAGCATATCACTCTATACAAACAGTGCATGTGTGTCAGAGGGAGAGAGACTTTGTAAACTCCGTAAGATAATAATTGCGGGTTTTACCTAGCTTGTCGTACCTGCCCTCCTGCCTCCTGCCTCCTCCTACTTATTACACACTCCTTGGCGCCTCTCACCTGAGTTTCATATGCACACCTGAGCCCTTCACACATGCCACTGTTTGTACTGGAATCTATAGTTGTTGGCATGAAACAAAACGTGGGACAGTAGCTTTTAAAGAAGCTGTCAATCTCACATTCTTCTCATTGCCACATTCATCTTAGCTTTTTGTCTGTCTTTTGAGTAACTGCTGTTACACAACATGCGATGCTGTTCAGCAATACATTAAACCGAGGTTCAGGTCTCTGCATGTTGATTGTCACACAGTGCTGAGTGAATGGAGCACAGTAGCTGCTAACTGCAAACAAAGCATGTAAAAATACCGGTTTAGTGCTTCACATCAAGCAAGCAGTGACTACCAGGGAATTTCTCTATACTCATGTTTTCCTTTCCATGTGTCTTCCTGCTTGTCTGCCAAAATAGTGCTAAATAAATTTGGGAGGAACATGTTTTTGTAAACAACAAATAGCCTACGATTTACACTTTGAAGAATATCACATTCAGGAACATTTCCACACTTCCGTCCTCCTCCTTCCATTGTGCCTGTCCTTCCCTTGTCCTTCTTATCTTCCTTCCTTCCTTCATTCTTCACCACAGTCTAGTTATGCTCAGCACTGTCAGCCATCTTTTGGAGTCTCCCAGGATCCGAAACAGCAGACAGAAGCTTTGGGCACCATATGTTCAAACTAAGGGCTAGACCTCCAACACCGTTCTTTATATAGTGTACTTTAATGTAGCATTATTTCAAATTGAATGTGTTGAAGCACAAATCCTGAGGTACAAAAATACACAACCGAGTACATACAGCCTGGACTGTGCACATGCTGACAGGCTGAAGCTGCATGCCCCGGTGTTAGGGTTGGATTTCAGGAGTTACAGTTGTT